CCTTCGCATCGTACCTTCAGCTGTAGCCGACATACAGCCAAGTGCACCTGTTGCCATCTCCAGAAATGTATAACCACGTTGCGATGGGGCTGTGACAAAGCGATATCCTCTTCTTGGCAAGTTGAAGCCAGTGCTAAGCGGAACTGCCTTTCTGCCGAGCCTCGTCTTGGTCTCCGGCGCCGGCCACAGAATGATGCCAGAAACAAAACGCCGCAGATGCCAATTCGGCTTGGCCATGAGCCTATCGTCCGGGTCTGCCGCATGGAACGACACGCCGATCGTCGCGCCCGTCCGCGCCACCAGCGACAACGTCATGGTCTACAGCCTCGTCATCTTGGCCAACCTTGTCCTCGTGCTACTGGTCTTGGGCATGATCTACATGCGGCGGCATGCGGCCGACAAACCCAACGAGCGCCCGATGGCGCCCACGGACCCCAACGACGATGACGACCGGTCGAGCATCGGCGATGGCATGAGCAGCGTCGTGCTCCTCGAGGTGCTCACGCCCTGCGAGCAGATCGTGACGAGCGCCTACAGCTCCGTGGAGCCGCCCGTGAGCATCCACAAGACCAAGCTCAGCATGCTCAGCGAGGGCCGCGAAACCAACTTTGATCAGCTCAGCACCTACGGCGGGGGCGACGATGATGACGACGCAGACGTCATCATGCTCTCCCGCGACGGCATTCCGTCCAAGGTCCTCTCGCGCTGGTCTGCGTTCCACTACCGCCCCGGGGACGCCGCGGCCGACGACGAGACCAATCGACACGGCGCGCCCTACCGCACGACGTACCCGAATCCGTGGACAACGAGCTGGTCCGTGCCGACGCTTTTGGAGCCCAAACCGCACGCCGCATACGCGCAGCAGCCGATGCGCGCAGAACATGAAATGACTCGCTTGAGCGCTCAGTCGTCTTGGTCCCAGTGGCACAGCGGCAGCTCGTACGGCCAAGAAAGCGAGCTCTCGATCGGTCTCTCTGAGGACGACGATGGCAGCGTGTCGTCCTTGAACGACGACCGCATTAGCTTCGACTCGGCCGCCCTCGAGACGCACCTCGCGTCGGCAGCGTGACCGACGCATCATATTTAAACTTTTTAACTTAGTCGACGCTCGATGGAAATAGTCGTCCGACCAAGGTGCAAGGCTAGACACTAAGGGCTGCGACGATGATGTATCCAGCATTTGGGTCCACCGCTGCAATGCAAGACGCGACTGCTAGTTCCGATCGCACGGTCGTATGGCGATCCATCGCACCCACGCGCTGAACGTGCGTCGTTGGCGCTGGCGACTGTCGTGGGCTTTAGCCATGCCGTAGACGCCGTCCAGCGCCTTGATGGCGGCGCGCCGGGCTAAAACGTCATCTCTCGACTCAACGACGCTTTCAGAGGCGCGTCCTTGCCACTGTCTTCGCTCAGCGACGTAGCGCTGCCACGCACTCCAGAGACCACGTGGCGTGAAGGCGGGGCTGCGTGGCCGGCGCTGGAACTGGACATATCGTTGCCACTGGGCGCGACCGCCGCGAAACAACGCCGAAGCGAGATAGCGTCGGAATCGCCGCTGGATTCGCGCTGCGCACTGCGCTGGCGACGGTGTTTGTGTCGTTGCTGATCGTAAAATCATGTTCTCCGTGTTGGTACCTACCTCACTGCATGGAGGTGGAGGAGGTCGAACTGCACTCGGAGATGGCGCTGCGACGACACACGACTCAAGCTCAGGCAGTGCGATGGGTGCGTCGAGAAGTACAAGCAGCTCCGCGTAGCTAGCGTCAAGTGCCGGCACGTCAATGACGGGTAGCGCATATCGGCCCGCGAGATCGGCGTCGAGTGCCTCGTAGAGGGAGCGCAAGAGCGCACCAGCGTCGCTGTCATTCGGTTCGCTGCTGTCACTCGGGCCGGCGCCGCTATGGTGTCGTCTGTTGAATCGAAGCGGCGCCGTACGCTTGAGGAATCTGCGCTTCGCCCGGTCGATGGCTGGAAAGGCCACTTCGTCCATGCTGCAAGATCGAAAATCCAAGCGCAGACCAATAGGTGCGCTGCTCTTCGTGGATTTGATCCAATCACAGCATCGAATGTTGCAGCAATCTTTCTGGCTTTGACAATCAAGTGAGAAAGAAGATGAACAACTCTGTATGCACAAACTGCAGTTTGCGTGTGAGCACCATGATCACCCGCTTGCTGCAGTCGCCTAAGCTTACAATCAACAGCAGCAATCGTGTTGCACGGCGAGCATCATTCTTGCTCTGGCTTGGGATAAACATGCATTCCTACTTGGGACAAACGAGGCAAAACTATCATGTGCGCAGAATCAAGTCGGAGTGCTTTGCATACTTCGCAGAACATGACGATGCCGCCAGCGACAATCGCAGCCCTCGCCGAGAGCGAAGCCTGGCCCCGCGTCGAGGCGTGGCTGCGCAATCACGCGCTCGGCGACGTCAACGCCACAACGGGCCTCGTACGTATCACGTTGCATCGCCCTCTCCCACCATGGCAATGGCGACTGTAGCATCGTGCCACCGCGCTCTCGTTCGCAGTCCAGTACGGCCAAGCCGACATTCTAGAGCAGCTTCTACTCCACGTGGACATCGACGTCGACAAGGCCAACGACGTATGCTGTAATCTGCGGGGTTGCACGCTCACGGGTGTTGTAGATGGGCCGCACGCCACTGCACGAGGCAGCGAGCCGCGGCCGGTGGCCGATTGCCAATGCGCTCTTGCGCAGCTACGCCAATATCAACGCAATCGACAAGGTACGCGGTCAGCAGGATCCTGGAGGTTTGAACGGCTGCTGGCAGCACGGCCGAACCCCGTTGCATTATGCCACCGAAGCGGACTGCGACGCTATGGTGCGAGGGCTCTTGAAAGCCAACGCCAATCCGCACGTCAAGGACAAGGTGCCATCCTGGAACCGGTTGTGAGACGCATGACAGAATGCTGTGAATAGGCGGGCCGTCTGCCCATCGATGTGACGATCGACGTTGCCATGCGCAACCTCCTGCACACCGCGATGGCCTCCGACACGGACTGTGCGCTACGCGGTGACTGGTGGGAGCTCGAGCGGCGAGCTGCAACCCATACGCTTGCCGACGTCAACGTTGTATTTGGCATCGTACGGTTTTGCGTCTACTGTGCCTTGACTTACTAGTAAATGGGGATTTAGCCCCGATGGACCCTCTTATCGTATGCTGCGCGAGAGAACCAAGGGACGTTTGTGCATCATCTCTTGCGCTGTGACGGCGTCGACATCAACAAAACCAACCGGGTACATCTTCTAATGGGAATGTGCATGGACCGATTTGAGCTCTAGGACGGAATGACAGCCCTTCACGAAGCCGCACAACGCGACCACCAAGACGTCCTCGTCGCCCTCATTGAAGCTGGGGCCAATGCGCTACTGAAGAACAAGGCACGTCAAACTACCAATGCCCTTATCGGAGCTCATGGATCGTGTAGGAAGGCCAGTTGCCGATCCAGCTTGCGACGATGGACGGGCGCTTTCGCATGTTGCTCGCCTCGGGTCTCTCGTTTGGCGAATGCGCCCAGCGTGGCTTGTGGAGCGACGTTGCGCGGCGCGTGGACGCGCGGTCAATCACCGACATCAACACCCCCATCGACGAGGTCAGTCCTTTCTTGCATTTCAACATGTACTACAGTCTACTTGACGGACATACAGAAGCGGTACACGCTGCTGAGCCTCGCAGCGCGCCACGACCAACTCTCTCTCGTGCGGCGCCTCGTCGAGTACGACGGCATCGATCTCGATGCGGCCAGCATCGTACGGACACGACATCTCATGGATAGGGGGATCTCAGGGCTTTTAGGATGGGCGCACAGCGTTGCACGAAGCGGCGGCAAAGAACCGCGTCGGTATTTTGGCCTTGCTCTTGCACGCCGGTGCCAACACGCGACTGAAAACCATGGTGCGTGCATTGCTGACGTGTGAAAATTGATGGATAACTTAGAGGGGCGAAACTCCGAGAGACATGGCCACGGTCGAGTGCCGTCGTCTTCTCGAGGCGATGGAGGGCATGTTACCCCGACACCCTGTGGCCGCAGCCAAGGATGGCCTCGCGTGTCCCCAGTGCACGTATGCCAACGGCATCTACGACACAAACTGCGCCATGTGCGAGTTTGCCTTTGCAAGCAGCGCCAAGGGCCCATGCGATATCGCAGCTCTCGAGGCTGAGGTCGACCGACTCCGCGAAGCGACGCTCTGCAGCATCTGCGAAGAGCTCGTCAAAGACACGGTGTTTCTCTGCGGCCACGAAACCTGCGGCGCGTGCGCCACGCAGATGAAGAGCTGCCCCACGTGTCGGAAGCCCATCAACGTCCGCATCCGCCGCTTTGTATAACCATCATGTAAACCGAATGCCAAGCACATTGGATGACTTTGTCGACATATATGGTGGTACCAATGGCAGACCTTCGCTTCAATCTTCAAGCAAGGAACTATGAACAAAAGCCTTGGGTTGCATACTCGAAGCCTGCTTGATCGGACTCCCTCTCAACACACAAGCCCTTCATCTTGGAGAAGACGAAATTGACAGTATTTCTATCAGCAGCGTACGTTAGAAGCGGGTGATCACATCATCGCATCAGCGTAGGCTCCAAACTCCCAGCAGGATGATCGCACCCAAGGTGGTCTAGCGTCTAATGCAGCAGTGTACGTCGGTAGATGTACCCACGAACTCGTCCTATCCGAATGGACTCACAAGCGAAGGGAAACTATTTTACAAAAAAATTTCGATCTTGCCCGCAAGATCGCCACGCGCGGTATTCTTTGACCAATCACATGCGAGGAAGAGGCGCCATCTTCAAGTTCAAGGTCCGCTTCTGAGTACGCCCAACGTACTCATTTGACTTCACCCAGCTCGCATCTAAGCACGAAGCGGCAACGACGTTGTTGCTAGAGACAGACGCCCGCAGGACTCTCTCATTTGACTCGTCCTCTTTTGTGCACTTAGGGAGCTAACCAATGCGATGACGTATGCAGCAGCTGCCTGAAGCTTCTTGCGTGCTCCTTGGCCTCTGCCAACAGCCATGTCACGCCTCAGCAGTACCGTTTGAGCCAGTTTGCTCTGGCCTTATTACGGCCAATCCTACAGCGCCTTGTAAATTGCGCGGTTCCCATTGGCCAACAGTGGTCCAAATCCCAATTCGGCGCAAACAAGCAAAGCGATGGCAACCTCCATGGCAGACCTCGCGCTGCGCGAAAGCTGGCCCGAGCTGGAAGAGCGCTTGAAGGCGCATGCTGTGGCCGACGTCAACGCAACCGCGGGCGTCGTACGTCACACCATGGACCATCGATCACACGACTCATGCGCTCCATCGTAGACGGACACGACGGCGCTGGCGGTCGCCGCCCGCCACGGACAGCATGGGATCGTGCATCTCTTGCTCGGATGCAACGACATTGACGTCGACAAGGGCAGTCGCGTACGAGGACATGCGTTTTGCATTTCGTCGTTTCTCATGCGCACACGTAGGACCGGACGACGCCCCTGCACGAGGCCGCCAAGCACGGCCATTTCGACGTCTGCCAAGATCTTATCGGTGCAGGCGCGGATATGAACGCGAAGAACAAGGTAGTGCGGATCCTAGCGCATTGTGAGCGACATATGCGTAGGACGGCTCGACACCGTTGCACGAGGCGGCTAAAGCAGGACAGCTCGACGTCGTCAAGGGGCTCCTCGCGGCGGGCGCGAATCCGCAGCTGACCAACAAGGCACGTTACCCAACCTGTCTCAAAACGTCGTCGTGACACGGTTGGGTGTAGAATGGAGACAAGCCGTTTGCAGTCGCCAAGCGCATGCAAGTGCGGGAATTGCTGCGGGGACGCATGTTCACGGTTGGTGAGTGCGCGCTCCACGGCAAGTGGAACGAGGTCAAGCGGCGCATCACGAGCCAGTCGATCGACAACATCAACGAGCCCTTTGGCGCCGTACGTGCTCGGGCCACGCTCTGCACCACTAACGTCCATGGTGTAGCGCGACTGGACGCTCTTGGCCTTTACCGTGTGGTACAACCAAGTCGACCTTGTCGACCTCCTGCTTGGCTACCGCGGTATCGACATCAACCAAGCCAACATGGCACGCTGTCCATCCAGCGAAGCTGCGGTCTCATCTCAACGCGCGTAGGACGGCATGACGCCTCTGCACGAGGCTGCCAAGTACAACCGCCTCCCGATCCTCACGACGCTTCTGCGGTCGGGGGCCAACACGGCCCTTCGCAACAACGTACTTTCTTGTGTTTCTTGGTTCTCGAGAGCGAAGAACACATTTATGACAGGCCGGGCTCCTCCCCATTGATATGGCGTCGGCTGAAGGCCGGGCGCTCATTCTGCAAACGCCTGGGAAAACCGTTGGCGAGTGTGCGCTCCACGGCAAGTGGAATGAAGTCAAGCGCCGCATTACAAGCCGTTCGGTCACCAACATCAACGAACAGTTTGGCCCGGTGCGTTTGGCGCCAAATGATACAGGAACGAGCGATCATTGACCTGTAGCGCGACTGGACCCTACTCTCGTATGCTGCGTGGTACAACCAAGGCGACCTCGTTGATCTGCTCTTGGAACATCCCGACATTGACGTCAACCGTGCCAACATGGTGCGCTTCCCGTCGGTAGTGCCTAGCTCAACGAAATTGTGGTGTGTAGGACGGCATGACGCCACTCCACGAAGCTGCAAAGTACACGCGGCTCCCGATCCTGGCCGCGCTCTTGCGCGCCGGCGCCGACACGACCCTTCGCTCGAACGTACGCAGTCTTTACGATTTCCGTCGAACTCAATGGAGCTGTGCATAGTCGGGTCTTACCGCGATGGACATGGCTGCACCGGAGGCGCGGGCGCTGCTGATGTCGCTGGATCGCGCGCCCGAGAATGCACCCAGCTGTGAACACGGTGTCACGTCGGGCGTTTGCAAGGTGTGTGAGATGGTGGCCATCCCGCTGGTCAGCGACGCGGCCGTGACGTCGCTCAAGCAGCGCATTCGCAGCCTGGAAGAAGCGTCGCTCTGCTGCATCTGCATGGAACGCTGCAAGGACACGGTGTTTGCTTGCGGCCACGAGACGTGCATGCTCTGCTCGACGCAGATCGTCAACTGCCCCAACTGCCGGGACCCCATCACGACCCGCATTCGCCGGTTTGTTTAATCGCTCATCTAATCACTCGTCGTTTTGTTGTCTCTCTCCTCTTGTGGTTCTTGGATGCACAACCCGAACCCTGCCCTAGCCACGACTGCCACCTGATATACTATTGTGCAGCTGGTAGCTTCAAAAACAAGGCTGAGCGTTGCTCGTGTCATATTATTGCAGGAGAGTGTCAAACTTGACATAGTTTTCGTAGTGCTTGGCACACGTCAGGACCTTGCCGACGTCCGTCGCATTGAACTTGGCTAGTTGTGTCATATGTACATAGTCATTTTGAAGATCATGCAAGGTACCTGTAAACCCCGTCATGAGGTCCATGGCGCGGTACGTCGTCAGTGGCGCGTACAGCACGGGGGACGTCGACCGCGAAATGATCTCCATGATGTAGTCTTGGGGCTGGTCCACGGGCGGGCGGCCCGTGAGAATCAAGCCGCCGCCAAACTCGCGGCCAGTTTTGAGCTCGTAGTTCTGGCTGTGGGAGAGAAACCCAAGGATGATGTCGTTCCGGGATGCGTGCGTGACGAAGAGCGTGTCGTTGAACTCGTGCGACGAGAGCTTGACGAGGAAGCGCCGCAAGCCGGACGTGACGAGCGAGACGTTGCGGAACTGCGTCATGCGGCGGTTCGAGCCGCTCAGGAGCTTGGTACCAAATAGCTCTTCAAAGTCCAGCATCGATGGCTGCGCGAGGCGTGGCTACATGCACGCAATGATAACATGAGCTTCGAAACGCACATGAACGTACGAGATCGGGCACGACACCGAGGAGGGGCACGTCCCACTGCTTGAGCGCCTTTGGGAAGTAGTCCCACATCATGTCCATTTTCTAGCATGAGACAACGCTAAGTCGAAATGCACTGCGAGCGCAAAACGGTACGTCGGCGCGGACTTTGTTGAGAATGACACCGCAAATCTTGACGCCATACTCCTTGCACATGACCCTGGTGCCCACCATCGTAACCATAACCTGAGTGACAAGATAGAGGACGCACCGGTTGAGCGCAAGGTCGTCGAACGCAGAACCAATACCACCGTTCGCGATGAGGATCATGTCCAGACCGAGCTCGGCGGCGACGCGGGCGTTGTTGACGTTGACGATCGAGCCGACCCCCGTGTGCCCCGTGCCTTCCACGACGGTAAACTACTCGACCAAAAGAAAATGCGATCTAAAACAAGCCGTAGAGCAGTCTACGCACGTCGTTGCGGGCGGCGATGCGGTTGAAACTCGAGCTGATCTTCTCGAGCTGCGACTCGAGCGAGATTTTTCCGTCGAGGTACTCGCGTGTGTAGCCGCTCGGGATGACGACGGGGCTCATGTCAGCGTAGTCACAGTTCTTGAGGTTGAAGACCTCTAGCATCGAGTTGGCGGAAGGCGTCAACAAGGCGGCGACGTACCTTTGGCGACGCGAACGTCCCTGTCGACGCGGAGGTTTCCGGACACGAGCACAGACTGCTGGCCGACGGGCTTGATGTAGCCAATGTTCTCGAAGCGACTGGTGAGGCCCTGGAGCAGTCCGAGGCAGGTGCTCGTCTTGCCCACGTGCTGGCGCGTCGCGGCCACGTACACCGCTTTCCGACGCATGGGGCTCGTCCGTCGACTGACGGATCTTGCTTGCGAAACAGAAGCGCGCAATGCCATTGGTTAAAATACATTTCCACACCATACAGCGCGCAGGTGATGCGCCACTTGGCCTCAACATTTCCACCAATCATGTTGCGAGAAAGATACTTTTTGGACGCAACTGCCGGGGGTATTTTTACATCGCTGCCATGCCCATCCTCGAGCCCGCGGACGGAGCGCCGCTCCTGCCGATACCCGACTGGATGAAGGCCAAGGCCCGGGGCGTCAGCACGCAGAGCGTCACGTGGCAAAAGCCAGCCGTGTACCACAGCATGTCGAACCCACTGCGGGCCTCCAACTCGGGGGGCCTCAAGCCGCCATCCAAGCTTGCACCGCTCGCCGACCTTGGCAGCAACCAGCAACATGCGATCGAGACCGAGTGGCCAATTACGGCGGCGCCAATCTCAAAATCGTCGAGCTGTCCGCTGAGCTTGAGCCCCGTAAAGCCATTGGCACTTCCCGTCGTGAGCTGCGACGCACCGACGCCGAGTCCGACGCTACCGACTTTCGTGCACCACGTACCGCGCGTTATGGAAGCTTGCCCCGAGGAAACGAGTGGGAGCTTTGAGGCCATGCCCAGCGGCGCCGCGAGCGTCAACATACCTCTTCGGCAGTCGCGTCTGTACAGCGATGTGAACGGGTCCACCAACAAGTGGCGCGCCCGCGCGATCGTGAATCCTTTTGCAAAGCGCAAGGCAGCAGCCAACAACGAGCCCAGCCCAATCGCGCCCGAGCCAGCAGTGACTGAAGTCCTGCCCCGCAACACACCGATCATCAAGTCTTCGTTCAAGATGCAGCCGACGAACCAAGACGAGCCAGCCATGGAGGTACCAAGCAGCACGCATCACCCACCGAGCAAGGTTCGCAGCATTCATGTGGGATTGGGAACCACTTCAACGGGGCTGTAGGTGCAGCATAGCCCACCTCGGGTAGCACCGCCCCGAGTACAGAAAATGTCGAGCAACTCTGACCAGGGGAACGTCAGTTTGATGCAGCCCGAGGCGGCGCCAGCGCAGAGGCGTGCAGTGACGCCAGACGTCATGGTGCGGACACCGTCACCGCCGCCATCGCCCAAATGGGACGGTGAAATGGCACCGCGGCCCAAGAAGACGCAGCCCAAACGCCCCATCAAAGGCAAGGCGTCGTGCGTCGGTGCGCTCGCCGAGATCCAGCGCAAGCGGGAAGAGCGGCGTGCGCTTCAAGTGCAAGAGAAGAACCGCAAGTACACATCGCGATTATATCACTCGTCAGAGGGAGCACTGCACTACAAAACTAGGGACGCAGAGCTCAAGGAGCACGGTGACGATACCGGGTACAAATTCCGGCGCCTCATCAAGGTGTACCGAGCGACGTTGCCGAAACGAGGTCGACGAACCGAGCCGAGACCCGGAGAAACTCAGGGTAATCTCGTAGATCCCGCCATGCGGCGTCCGCTTGTGAGCACCAGTAAGCTCAGTGTATTTGTGCGAAAGCGCCCGCTAAGCAAGAAAGAGCTCGCTGCCAAAGGTTTGATGCGTCATCAAGGGCCACCTGCATTAACGTGTCTCCTATTGAAGGGTACGATGTGATAACGTGCACTCAAGCCGCGTCCCTGTTGTGCCACGAGCCAAAATTCAAGGTTGATATGAGCGAGTCCCTCGAGAACCACGCGTTCGCCTTTGACGGGTCCGTGCGCGGTGTCGATCGTCATGCATTTCTCAAAAGAATACATTAGGGTCTTTGACGAAGCCGACGACAACGACGTCATATACAAACACTCGGTTGGTCCATGGATCCCGTCGCTTCTGCAGTCGAACGGCATTCTCACCGTGTTCGCATACGGCCAAACGGGCTCGGGCAAGACCTATACCATGTAGTATCGAAACTGGCTGCGTTTCAATGACATTTGACACTAGGAAATCCGTGTACCGTCAAGCCGCGAGCGACTTGTTTGCGCAACTCGCTTCGTCTTCGAAAGGCCGCATCGTCGTCGGCGTTAGCTTTTACGACATTTACAAAAATGGCGTCTGCGACCTCCTCAACCAGCGCAAGAAGGTCCAAGCACTTGAAGACAACGACGGCGTTGTGCAGCTCTTGGGCCTCACCGAAGTGCAGACAACGTCTGCTGCGATGCTTATGGAGCTCGTCGAGAAGGTGCACCGGTGTTCGATCCTCCGTTGTATTGCACTTACGGAAGCGTCGTTGCGTAGGGCGAGGCATCTCGCATCACGAGTATCAACGGCGTCCACGACGACTCTTCGCGTTCCCACGCCATCTTGCGTGTCACACTGTATGCTGGGAATGCCACTCAAAGTAGCCCGCTGGGCACGGCCGAAGCGCGCCTGTCGATGGTCGACTTGGCCGGCAGCGAACGAGCGTGCGAAACTCAAACCGACGAGTGCGCTCCATGTTTTTGCTCGTTGAGGTTGATGTTTGCTTGGGATGTAGCAAGTCGACTCGCATGGAAGGCGCGGAGATCAACAAGAGTCTTCTCGCGCTAAAAGAATGCATTCGCGCCATGGACATTGGCGCCAAGCACCTGCCGTTCCGCCAAAGCAAACTCACACAAATTCTCCGCGACAGGTGTGTTTTTTCAAATGTTTGTACGGTGCTCTGAGGGTTTGTACGCAGCTTTATGTGCGAGACGTCCAAGACGGTCATGATCGCAACCGTGTCGCCGTGCTCGGAGCATTCAAACCACACACTCAACACGCTGCGGTACGCGGACCGCCTCAAAGAGATCAATTCGCGGGAGGATTAGAGACAGGCTAGATATCGTAGTCTTTGGTGTTTTACGTCTTGTCATAAAGTATATACTACAGCTCGTCATGACGAGGGTCGGCAGTGCATGCGTGGGGCGGCGACACAAAGCACGTATCGCGCGTCGTCTCGAGCCGGCGGAAGTAGCTGAAGTGGAAGCGGATCTTTGTCGAGGGATAGACGCGGACGCGCACGTCGTGCCACGTCGCCTCCATCCAGGCGTGCACGCGTGGGCCATGGGTTGCACTGCACCGCACTTCGCCCACGACCGCGGCCTACGCCTTTCCATTCAGCGAGGCACAAGTCGTGTACGCGTCATACCTGTGGCGTTGGCTGCACCCAGCCAAAGCACGCGTGCTGCTGTGCCTGAGCCGTGACAAGCGCAATCGTATCCTCGCCGCTGCCGGGAATCTGGGCTCAATAAGGGGTCACGCCCCTTCGTATCCGACAGAGTACCTCGTAACGGAAGCCATAGAAGCGGTCGGCCATCGACGCCGACGTCGTCACGCCCATCGCCGCGACCACAAAGCAGCGCAGCATGCCAATCGCAATCTCGGCCACCAATCATGACCACGTAAAATCCATGTGCGATGCAGTGATTGGCTGGGTCTCGAGGCCAAAGATCGCGAAAATTGCACTTCATGAATTTCAGTGTCTTGCGGGGCTGTCGCGTGCTCTGATCCGTCGACGCCGCGGCGTGGCACGGGTCGAGCATAGCGTGGGCTAGATAGCGTGGGCTAGATATGGATATCTATCCGGTACCTTGATATTCGGTGTCGCGGCACGCAACGCCGACGCGCCATACCCACTAATAGATGCGCAGGCATTGGCAGCTCCTGCGCCTGTATGGTGTATGTGTGCGATCGATACGTCGAGTGTGATATTACACGAAACACGCTCGGTGTAGGTATCCCGTGACGTCCCACGACAGACAGAACGCGCATGGCTTTGCGTCTTGCTCCATGCTCCATCAAGGAGTCAGATGCATCCTTCTCATCGACCAAACCGATACCTCTGATCCAAAAAGGGATGCTGGCGGATCGAGGCGGACGCCACTTGAGTTGGAGCAACTCTCGGCACGACACGTAGTACGTACGCTTGACCACGCGCAAGTCCTCAAGATTCCCCCGGCTCGTAGACGCTCCGCTTGTAACAGGGGTACGTGGACATCACGTAGCACGTGTTGCGTTTTCGCCCTGAAGGGAATTGGCACCGAAGGCTAAGGTCAATGCAACGCTGCCTGACGTGGACTAGCGCCAAGAAATATATATTTGAGAGGATAAATACGAGGTAGATTAGTGTCTAAATGCTGCGGCGGAAGGGCTTTTGCGTCGGTGGCAAGGTCGCGTTGGAAAAGGAGCCTCGGTCGCTGACTCGCTTTTGCGCCGCGTCGTGGACGCCGAGCTCGGAGAGGAACATGTGCAGGTCGGCGTGGTTCTCAAAGATGAGCTGCTGCTTGATGACGGAGCCGTGGTGCTGCACGCGCAGCGTCAGGTGCTTGTCGTTGGTCCACTGCGCGTCCACGATGGCGTCGATCGCGAACGTCGTGTTGGTGTTCATGCACGTGAACGAGCCTTTCGCGGCGTTGACGTCCATGGCGAAGGTCTTGGAGCGGAAGCCGAGCTTCTCCATGACCGTGTTGTTGTGCTTGGTGTAGTAGATGACCATCTTGCGTTGGCAAAGGAAAAATGAAAATGGACCTTGGCGCGTCGTTACGGCCCAAGCTGCTGGCGCCAACTTCAACGCTGGCCAGAGTGGGACGGTGCATAATTAATTCCGACAGGATTTTCGCACCAGAAAATCGGAGCCCGAAATTTATACGCGCGAGACACACGAGATGACTTGGTCTCTGTATGTCTGCGGCGTGTGTATTAGTGCCCCGTGTAATAGCAGCAAGCAGAGGAGCGTCATGGTTGCTCCAATGTTTCGCCCCCGCAAAAGAAGAGACCCATTGTCGACGTGGACATGGCGGCGTAAAACAAAATTCAAAGAACCGAGGCTTCTCGCGTCAAGTTCGAGAGACTTGCGTCTGGTCGCACAGCCGTCCTTCCGAGCCTGTTTACTCAAACGACTTAAAGGGTTTTCACTTGGGTCGTGTACCGGTACGCAAGTGATGACGGGTGACGAATGCGGGCGACCACGTCGTATTCGGCTTGTGATGTAGTTAGAGCTCCTGTCTACGCGGGAGAAACTCACTAGCCTTGTTCTCCTTCTTCGCAAAGCAAGAAGCACCGTTTGAAGCTTCTTCAACGTGATATGACGTGAAGGCTCTTCATCACCCATGCAGTTGGCACCTTCAAGTGTTATGGTCCCGGGTTTCCTCCCGCGTCTGGCACGTTTGCACGCAAAACGGCTGTTATAACACCATACATATCTTTCACGCCTTCTTGTGGTCCGGTCGCGGCAACGGTTGATATATATACACCCCGACAGATGCTTGCGCCGCGCAGTTGCATCCTCCCACGCCGACCTATTGCACTGTTTCTTATTCGTATTCCCATACTGTCTGCTTGGTATGAGTTTCCGCGGCGTCTACTTTCTTTTTCTTCGAGGCTTCTTCCATCGAGTCGAATCTGAGCTTGGTCTTAACATCATGGTCTTTGTGTTATAACAATTGCTGGTGTCGTCCACGCGAGTAGCCAGAGGAGTGCAGGTCGCTCTCGGACTTCAAGTCGCGCCGCTGTGCACTGGGACATCTGCCGTCACAGAGAAGCTATTTGTACGATGACGCACCGAGCGCGATCCTACAACGGTGTCAGCAAGAGCCAATTGCTGCAAGCGCTCTATGCATGGCGTCGCTCGACTTCGAGGTGTTGACAATGGCGATGAGAGCTCGAAATGCGATGACCCATCGCATGCAGTGAGCTACGAGGTAGTCACGGAAGGAGCGCGGCCGGGCCAGGCACGCGCACGAGTGCGCCTGCGGAGCACGCATGCCGCAGAGGTCCCGCGCGCGACGAGGCTATGCCTAATGCTGCGTAACGACGTCGTTGCAGACTGCTGCGATGGACGTTAGCACACGCCTCGCATCGCGGAAACCTACCGCACGCATTTGTGTGATTAACCCTGCAACCAAGGGCAATGAACCTGCATGCGTGCGGCAGAGACACTGCACCACTGACAGTGTAGCACCGCGTGCAATGCGGCGAGGAAGGCAATCGGGCCGACAGCAGACCGTCGGACTCTGAACTTGGGCTACTAATGTTGGTGCTCGTGACGCCAAGATCAACTTGCCCTGCTCTCTTAGAGGTGGCTTCACTGAAGAGGTTGAAAGAGTTTGTTCAGTCCGTCCTGCGTCCCCCAGCGGTGCGTGGCGAAGGTGAGGTAGCAATGAATAGACCTAGTGCATACTGCAGCCTTATGAACTGCGCCCAAGCTGACGAGCGTTAATCCATCGCAACGCCACGTCAGCGTCCGCAAAAGTCGTCCGGATAGCCTTGCATGGTATGCGGACATCCGGATAAGAGGGGGCTCCGAATCGCCGGAGACGCCGACGCGATGCACACGCAGCAACCTGGCTTTGGCCAGCCTCAGTACGGCTACGGCAACAGCCAGTCCCAGTACGATAACAGCCAGTCCCAGTACGGCAACAGCAACCAAGGCAGCTACGAGCAGCAAGGCAGCTACGGCCAGCAAGGTGGCTACGGCCAGCAGTACAACCAAGACTACAGCCAGCCGGGCTACCCGCAGCAGCCCGCGTACAACCAACCCACGTACCACCAGCCGCCGCCGCAAAACCAAGGGGGAAATGCCCCTTGGTTCACGGGTGGCGATAGCGCGCCGACGAGCGACTTGACTGGCTCGATGGGCCGCATGGGTGACGGGCCGCCGCCTTCGGGCCGGTATGGCAGCCGCGACGACGAAGACTACGAGAACGAGCCACCGCTCCTTGAAGGTTGTGAGCTGCGCTCTGTGTTCCCCGGCGTGATCGTTGTTTTGTTGCCTGTAGAGCTTGGCGTCAACTTTGGGCATATCTGGATGAAGACGCAGTCAGTGCTGTTGCCGACCAAAGAGATCACGGAGCATATCCTCGACGACACGGACCTCGCGGGCCCGCTCGTGTTTTGCTTTGTCTTTGGCACGTGCTTGCTGCTGGTACGTCGCTCCTAGACAGGTTCGATCGTGGCTCATGCGATCGGTAGAGCGGGAAGATCCATTTCGGGTACATCTACGGCTTTGGCGTCTTTGGCTGGGTCTTTATGTGGGCGATCATGAACCTCCTGTCACCGACGCGCACGATCGATATTTACCGTGTCTGCTCCGTGCTTGGCTACTGCTTGCTGCCGATCATCCTGCTTGCAGCCGTCAACATTGTCGTCTCCGTCAAGTCGGTCGCAGAGTGCATATGAGTGAGCGATCTAACGTGCCTCAATATGTAGGAGCCTCAACTACATTGGCCTCGCGCTCGCGTTCCTCAGCGTTGCGTGGAGCACGCAGACAGCGACGCGCTTCTTCGAGAAGGCGCTGCACATGCACGACCAGCGCTTCCTCATCGCATACCCGACGGCCATGGTCTACAGCTGCTTTGTGCTCATCACGGTGTTTTAAACCAATATAGCACTCGTCATATGTGGCATGCCAGCGTTGAGTTTGAGTGGAGTTTAGCTCGCTTGGAGGACACGGTAAACGTCAAAGATACAACGAGTGGGATAATCGATAACGACCAAACAAAAAGATACGATGGAACCGTCGCGGGCGGGCGCCATGGCTTCGATCACTGCACGGCCCAAGGTCGCGGTCGTAGCGCCGGCGAGGGCGACAACCGACAACATCTCGGCCCTCACCCACCACCACGGCGAAGGCGATACGAGCGAAGATGGCGCCAAGCACACGTCCATTGCGCTCCGGCTCCCAGCCACGGTCGCCGGGTTGTCCAAAAAATCGCGGCTTCGGCGGCTCTGCATCGAGCTCTACTTCTCCGAGGCCTTTCACCGCTGTATTCTCGTGGCAATCGTACTCAACACGATTGTGCTGGGCGTCGACACGTCGTCGTCGATGACCGCGGACGCGTCATCATCGACCCTCACCACGGTGCGCTCTTATGGTGGCTACGCATAGCGACAATGCTTTCGTCTTGGTAGGTGCTTGCCTGGCTCGACGTCGGCTTCAACGCGGTGTTTACGCTCGAGGTCTGTGTCAAGATGCTCGCGGTCGGCGTGCTCGACGGACCTCAGTCGTACCTTCAAAGTCGCTGGAACATTGTGGACCTGCTCCTCGTGCTCCTGGGCTGGCTCACGATACTCTTGGCGACGCAGAGTGCGTCGCAGGTGCCCAACCTCGGACTCTTCCGCCTCTTGCGCATTCTCAAGGTGCTTCGCGGGATCACGTTCTCGCGCGGCCTCCAGACGCTCGTCCAGTCGCTCTTTGAGGCCATGCAGCTTCTGGTGCATGTTGGTCACCTCATGCTCGTTGTGCTCGCCATCTTTGCAATCGCAGGCATCAATCTCTTCCGAGGCGCACTTCACCAGCAATGCGACAACGAGTATGTGGACGGCAGTGGCCCGCGCTGCGGCGCGCGTCCGTGTCCTGGCAATGGAGCGTGCTCGGTGTATGCCTTGAATACGACGACGCTCTACAAGGACCTCAACGACGGCTACACCTCGTTCGACCACTTTGGGCTCGCGCTATTGACCGTGATTGAGGTCGTCTCGTTCTCCAACTGGGGGCAGACGCTCTTCGCTCTCGTGGAAGCCAAGGTGCGTTGCGGTAATGTGTACGAACGATCGCTCAACAACCTTTCGACTAGTCGGGCATTGCGGCACTCTATTTTGTGCTGTTGATTCCGGTGGGGAGCTACTTTGTCGTCAACCTCGTCATCGCTGTCATCCACGACGCGTACGCCCGCAAACTCAAGCACATTCAGCGAGCACTCGTGACGGCTCAGGTGCGCACATACGAGATTCGCATTTCTCACTCACGAGCGTAGCTCAAACTCAAAAAGAAATCGCTCGCTGCAAAGCAGACGCGTCGGGCCCCATCGGTGATGGACGTCATTCGCTTCCCCACGGCGCTGCCGGCAACGACGCTGTCGCACATGGAGCTCCACCTTTTGCTCTCGCGCTTTCAAGATGAGAACGGTCACGTCAACTACATGGCGTTTGCCACGTTCTTTTCGCAGTCGAGGTGCGCCACGCGTGTTGTCTCCATTGAGTAACGAAAGCGTGTGGATCCAGTCATGTCAACGAGACGATGAACACGCTGCGACGCTTCCTCCAGCGCGCCAAGGTCGCGGGCTTGCACACCCACTCGCTCTTTCGATTTTTCGACAAGGACCAGAACGGTCGTTTGAGCCTCGCGGAGCTTCAGAGCGGCTTTCAGGTAGACATTCCAGCGATGAGACGCGTGCAAATGCGAGCGGTGCAGGCAATCGAAGCGCGCATCGGCATTGCTGTAGACTACGCGACAGTCGTAGCGCTCCACGCGTACTTGGACTTGGACAACAGCGGCCATGTCGACTTGGCCGAATTCATTCGCTTTGCGGACGCTCCGTCGCGGCAAATGGAGCTCCTCGAACAAAAAGTGCTCCTCGAGTGCCACGCGTGCGAGGTGCATGGGACAAACCTCCTGGAGCTCTTTCGAGCCGAGGACGACACGCTTCAAGGTCCGCGCTTCTGATGCATATATCGACCATTGCATTTCGTAGGCATGGTGAATGTCGATGGTTTCAAACGGGTACTGAGGCGCATGGGGTTTCACGGTGCAGGGGTGCACCTGCCCGCAGGCGCCGCAAGCGCGCCGAAGGCGGCTGCGTCCAAGGCCGATGGTACGATAAAGAGAGTGGCCCTCGCGGTGATGCACCACCGCGCCTTCGCGCTGGTGATCAACGTGGCACTATTTGTGAACGTGGGTGTGCTCCTTGTGCGCAACCCGAACGACGATGTCTCGCCACTGATCGCCGACCCCCGCGTTATTCAAATCAACAACACTACGATGTCGGATACGAATGATGTCGTGTGGATGCTGGCGCTCAGTAGAACGACTGACGTCCTCGCGTGCATCTTTTGCCTCGAAATGCTCGTCAAAATCAACGGACTAAGTCTCGCTGGCTACGCCGCTGATACGTACAATCTCCTCGACGGCATTGTCACGGTCATTGGGTACCACTTCTGAACTCGTGTGGGCACATCTGTGACGCATGCCTTAGGATGCTGCACCTGTGCTTCTCAAGCGTCGCCTCGATGCCAGATAGCGTCGCTCGCGGCTTCCGCATTGTCCGCGTCGCGCGCGTCTTTGCCCTCGGGAAGCAGTTGCTGTCCTTCCGCATGCTTTTGGAGACGATGCTCACGAGCTTTCGCGGCCTTTGCTACTACGCCATCTTGCTCGGCCTCGTGCTCTACGTCTTTGCGCTCATTGGCATGAACCTCTTTGGCCACTCGCTGCCGTCGTTTCAGACGCTTTGGAAGGCGCTGTTGACCGTCTTTCAGATATTCACGGGCGACGAGTGGACCAGCGTGCTCTACAGTTGCATGGACTCGAGCACATACAATGGCGTCCTCTTTGTCATATCGGCCTTCGTCGCTGGCTTTTACATCTCGCTCAACGTCTTTCTCTCGATTCTGCTTCAAAACTTCGACTCGGACGAAAACGCCCACCACCGGTCGTACTTTGAGACGCTGGCCAACGCCGAGTTTGGCTTTCTGACCGCACTCTGGTCCTGGTTTTTGCAGCGCTGGCAGCCACCGTCGCCCGTCGTTGCTCGTGAGCTCTCAGCCAGCGGCAGTTCTCGTTCCAGCGTCATGGACGCCGAAGCGGTCCTTTCAGCCGTCCGACGGGGCAGCCGCTGCGCAGACCCAACGACGATGCGCCTCCACGAGGTCGCCGACATTTTGTTCTTCCAAATGGACGTTCGCGACATCTGCATAGAGCACAAGTGGTATTTTGCCTGCGTCCTCGGCTCGGACGTTGTGGATTTCTTGTTGAAGCATGGGTACGCAAGCGACGTTCTCGACGCTGAGGCCATAGGCAGCCGACTCGTGACAATCGAGCGCCTTCGGCCCCACGCAGCTTCTCGCGGCCGGTACACTGCCAAGGGGCTCAGCCTTACCGACGTCGAAGTCGACGTCTGCACCGTCATGCACGAGCTCGTTTCCGCGGTCCAAGGTCCGTTTGGGAACGACGACAGTGTTTTTTCGCTGCACCCGCGCTATGGTCTGCAGCCGTTGCACCCGTCGATACAGCGAGCCAAGACAGCACACGAGCGCCGAGCGAAACGAACCACTGAGTCGCGCCAAGAGCGTCACCGCGCGCTAATGAACGGGAACGCCCTCGGCTGCTTTCCCACCACGAGTTCGTTCCGAGCGCGCATTGCTTGGCTCACGCTGCACCGAGCGTTTGGCATCATCGTGCTCTTGAGCATCCTTCTGTCGTGTGTTCTTGCAGCGATGGAAGGCAGTGCAAGCGGCGGCGACGTGTACTCAGCCTTGTTTTTCTGGGTAAGATGCCTCTTCGAGCGCCCAGAGATCGTAGCATGCATCGGTGTAGGGCGACGCGGCTTGCACGCTCCTCTTTACAGTTGAGATTTTGCTGCGGGTGATTGCGCAAGGACTTTGGTTTACGGGTCCGCGCGCCTACTTGCGTGACGGCTGGAATGTTCTGGATTGCGCTGTCACGGCCTTTGCACTCGTGACGCTTAGCGTGTCGTTGTGCGCTTCCACGAATGTCGGCGCGACGCACAGCGTCACGAAAGGCTTCAGCGCAGCCAAGCCGCTTCGGGCTTTCCGAGCGCTTCGGCCGCTGCGCATCGCGCATCATAACGACGGCATCAAGATCGTCTTGTCGGCCATTCTAAAGACGCTACCGTGCGTCGTGCACATCCTCGGCGTCGTCGTCGTGTTTGTCTGCATCTTTGCGCTCGTGGCCGTCGAGCTCTTTGCAGGCAAGCTCGCCTACTGCGACAGCGTCGATCCGCTCGATGTACGTCAAGTAACGTCGCTTGAACCTGACCTCTTCGTTTAGCGCTATACAAAGGGCGTGAATGCCTGCCTTAGCGATCCTGACATCCAGCGGGCTTGGGTGACGCCATTGAACAACTACGACACGGTCGGCAGCGCGATTGTGTACTTGCTGCAGCTCACGACGTTGCAAGGCTGGTCGACCGCCATGCACGATGTCATCGACGCGCCATCGATGGGCTTTGCGGGACTTCCGCTCGTCCACGACAATACGCCATCGTACGCGCTTTTCTTCCTCGTCTTTGTCGTCGTCTGTGGCTTCTTCATGATGGGGCTCTTCCTCGGTGTTATCGTCTACAAGTTTGACCAGATCAAAGCCGCGTCCGAGGGTACGATCTTCCTCACCGAGGAGCAGAAACGTTGGGTGCGACCGCTTTGCCGAAGTTATTAGCTAAGATAACGCACTGTAGGTCAGCATTCAACGTCAACTGTTTACGAAGCGGCCGCACTACGTACCGAGCAACCCACACGCCCGAAAGAGCTTTCGGTATGCAGCGTTTGCTTGCATTCAACACTGGATCTTTGAGGGTGGGCGTTGCTGCCTCTTGTTTGTGTTGCTGACATTCTGCTAGTCGTCACGATATCGGCCGTCGGACTCAACGTGGTGCTCATGGCAACTGACCATTTCCCATCGTTGCCATCGTACCAAGCAACGTACGACAATCTGCAGTGGGCGTTCACGGCGTTCTTCCTCCTCGAAGCGAGCGTCAAGGTGATGGCACTTGGAGTGCGCGGCTACATCCGCACTCGGGCCCATTGGCTTGACCTCGTCGTGCTCTGCGTCTCTGTCTCGGACTCGTTCATCGACGTTGGCGTGCTTCGCATGCTTCGCGTCGTGCGCGCCTACCGCTTACTCAAGGTCGTTCTGTTTCTATCCAGAGCATATATACTGACCCGTCTCTAGAACTCGCGCGGGCTGCTCTCACTTTTGCACACGCTTGAGACGTGCTTACCGTCGCTCTTGAACGTCGGGTCGCTCCTCGTGCTTGTCATTTTTGTCTACGCCATTCTGGGCATGAACCTCTTCGGAGAGATCGTTGAGGGCGAGTGCCTCCGACCCGGCCGCAACTTTGAATCGCTCAGCAGCGCCATGTTGGTGCTCTTCGTTGTCGTGACGGTTCGAATACTGCTATGCTCTGCTTTTCATACGGCGTTCTCTAGGGCGACAGGTGGGATTGCTACTTGGGCGACATGCTGCCGCTCTACCCGCAAATCGGCCGCGTGTACATTTTCTCGCTCTTGATTTTGGGCAACTACGTCGTGCTCAACATTCTTATTGCGGTCGTGCTCGAGAGCTTCAACGAATTCATGGCTGGCTGCGACACGGAGCTCGAAGACCAACCGACGAACGATCACCTCGATGCATTTGCGGCTGCGTGGGGCGAGCTTGCGCACCAAGGATCGCTCTTCCTTCCGTCGTACAAGCTTGCAGCACTGTTGCGCATGTTGCCACCGCCGCTCGGCTTGCCTGGCCACGTACGTACCTCAAATCGACGTGCCACACTGCAGCTTGATAGGCACAGGACCGGCATATCAACGTCGTGCAGTTCGTTCGCAGCTTGGACGTCCGACGCAACGCAGCCAGAGACATGTTTTACCTCGACATCTTCTACGCGCTTTGTCACCGAACTATGCCCAATGGCGCCACCAACTTTGAGTCGGCGATGATTGAAAAGCACCTGCAGACGGCGCTCGCTGCCCATGCGCTGCGCCACTTTCACGAACTCCACTCGGTGCAGCTAGCTTTAGCCTCACTCCAGCGCTTTGACCTGACGCTCGAGTTCAACTCAGCCCTCGTGATCCAGAAGGCGTGGCACAAGCACCGGCAACAAGTCACGAAAGAAAATTCATGCGAGAGCAGCAAAACGGTGCGCGCAAGGCGACCGATTGCACATTAAACCTTGCTTCAAAGAGTCTCGATGCATCTACTACGCAGCCTTCTTGAGCAAATGCTGCTTCGTGGAGGCTTGCGTGTTGAGGAATCGCCGCCGCTCGTCCAAGGCGGTCCACGTTGGTACGTCGGGGTTGGACCAGTCCAAGCACACCTTGACGAGCAGAATAACATGCTCCAAGCCCTACGCCATTATCAACTTTTGAACGTACAGATAACACGTACAAAGATGAGGCACACGCGGTGGACGTCCGACATATCGGGTGCAAGCACCTCAATCTGGTAGATGCCCAAGAGGCCGCAGTTGACGAGGACAGCGACGACCGAGATGACGTACAGAACGCGCGACCAAATACCAATGCCATGGGTGTGCTTGGCGTACGGCCGCTGAAGGCCATAACTGTTGATGAGCTTGAAAAAGTCCGACCGCGCTTCGATGAGGTTGTTGAGGTACGCGAAGAGCGGTGCCAGTGGAAACACGGGGGCATACAGCGTGACATAGCCGTACTGCAGCATCATTTCCTGCGCAAACAAGGTGAGAAGCAAGCGACCATCAAAAAGAGCATTCCTTGAAATCGGAAAACGTGTCCTTGTACGGCGTTTGATGCTTCTGGCGCAGGATGTGCGCCACCTTGTCGTCCGTGGTTGTGTGTAGCACGACGTGGGCGTTGGCGGTCAGACCGCCTTGAAACCACAGCATGAGCGCAGGCATGGCAACTTCCTTGACGTTGTCGAGGCACTGCATGCCGACCATGAGAATCCACAGCCGGCGCCGCAGTCGCGTGAGGTCTTGCGCGATGAAGGCGAGGTACAAGAGCGACGCGTTGCAGTTGATCAAGTGGAACGGCATGCGCTTGAGAATGAGCTGGTTCTCGTGCTCCTCGACCTGAAGCGCGTGAGTGACAGGCGTGGGAGACATAGGATACCGTTCGGTAGTTCTCGAGTCGTGTGAGCCACTTGGCGAGCTTGAGGTACAAAAGGTCCATCACCTCGATGAGCACCGCGTTCAGAACGCTTGGGCCCTGGATGACCATCGCGCAGTAGGCGGCGTCGTTCTCGTCGATCTGGTCATAGCACATGGGAAACCAGTGCTTGTTGTGGTCCGCAAACCACTCGAGGCCGAGGACGTAGAGGAGGACACCAAGACACATGAGCAAGACCAGCGGTAAGGTCACGCAGGCGCGAACCACGGTGCCTACAGGAGCGCGCACATGAGATTCGCAATAGCTCTCGGTCGGCGCACGCTTCCAATGCGGTGTGTCAAAGACGAGCTCGTGCGTCACCGGATCTCGAATCCACTCGCCAACAAACGCGGGCCTGTGAAGATATCAGAAAATGTAGCTACTTCGACAAGTGCGTACCGAGGCTCGCTGTACGTGTCCTCAACTGGCGAGTACTGCCATTGGTACTCCGTCTGACGCTGCTGGCGCGTCCATGAGTCGACAAAAATCGACGTGCTGATCGAGAGCACGATCGAGAACGGGAGGATGTACAGCGTTGTGTCGATCGCAGCAGTCTCCATGAGGAAGAGAGCAACGCCACAGAGACTGGGCACCACGAGAAATTGCGTGTAAAAATCTACCCTTGTCTTGAGCTCGGTCGTTCACAGGCAACGTACCGAGCCACACAAAGTACATCGAGAGCGCAGGTCCAAAGTACGAGTGGATATCGCGGAGCGGGAGCGCCAAGGCCGGCGCTGCATGCCACTTGGCGAGGATGTCGTGGCGCAGCACATCGTTGTGCAAGGGCAGCAGCGAGACCTGGAGGGTCGTGAGCACCTATTTACAGAGCGTTGTGTGTACCTGAACGTGTTCCTGGAGCTGTGGGAAGAGTTTCTCGTTTGCGTGGAATGCAAGTGTGAGTCCGTCCTGGCCAAGGTACAAGTTGTCCTCAACGGAAGCTTCGCGGAGCAAGGCCATGATGATCTGCTGCGTCCGCGCCGAGCCGGGCAGTGTGCGCACATACTGGTGCGCCTCCGAGAGCGTCGAGAGAATCTTCTCTTCCTGTGCTACCTTGGAGATCCCGAGAAGGAGGAGGTAGACCTGCTCGTGGCAGTCGGTGGCGTCGTCGACGTGGTCCTTGCCGCGCAGAAGCTCCGTGTCGAGGCCCTTGTCTCGTAGCACGTGAGCGAAGGTCGTGAGCCGCTCGACCTGGAGCTCAACGCGTCCGCCCTCCTCGAGACCAGGCCCAGCGTGCACATGCACCTCGGCGTGGACGCATATCTCGTGCATCGCGCCAGTGAATCTTTCGAACTCTGCGACATTGCTGTTGTTTCTTTTGGTGTGATATAGAATATAGTATGAGGGTGATCGCACAACAATTAGTGATGGGCCGGCTCGATCAATGCCTTGACGCGGTCGCCCGACTGCAATCCATTGGCGCTTCTTCCCTCTGATTTGTTGCTGAGTATGCTGTCTGTCAGGTTCTCGCACCCCAGAATCGAACCGTGCCACACCTGTGCCGTGAGCGAGACAGCTGAGCGAGACGCCTCTAAACTAAGGCGTACAACTGAAAATCGAACGGCTGGGTGAGGGTGAGGACACAGTGTCATTCTCCGAACCCTCCACTGGGAAGCTTGGAGGTCCATGGAAACTCATTTCCTCCGAGTGTTTCCTTGGGTTCGAGGGAGTGAGGACGAGCGTGGATTGCAAACACCGTCGATGATTGGTTGGTTGCCAACCAATCAAAGCAAAGTAGCCGCGACTCGCCACACGTAAAATGCAGCTGCCCGCGCTTCTCGTGGTGCTTCTCGCGGGCGCCGGCGGTGCATGCAGCGACTTTCTCCTCAACTCGACGACCAACGTCATCTCGGCGCGAAGCATGGACTTCAACATGGACCTGCAGACGTCCATTGAAACAGTACCCATTGGCACGCGCTTTGTCGAGGCTGGTGGGTTCCAGTGGCGCAATTCCATCGGCTTCGTCTCGTTCAACGTGCGTAGCCTTCCGTTTGCAGCCGATGGCCTCAACACCAAAGGTGCAATTGATGTTGATCGGTCCAAGCATTGACCGTTGTAGGCTTGTCGGCGGCCTGGCTGTTCATGGAGGAAACAGTCTACCCCGAGGTGGATGCGAACGACCTTCGACCGGCCATTGGCAACCTATGCAGCTACATTTTGGGTCCACTCCACTCCACTCTGAAATTGGTCAACTTGTCCTGACCATTGTGTGATAGGCAATTTCGCCTCGGTTGACGACGTAGTAGCTGGCTTCGACACCATCCAGCCCGTGGCTTTAGACCTGATGCATATCCCCCTTGCTCAGCGTGCAGGCTTGGGTCCACTTCGTCGTCTGCCCATGCACATTGCGGTGCACGATGCGCTCGGCGAGTCACTCGCCATCGAGTTTCTTGATGGAAAGACGCGCCTCTTTCGGAACTCACTTGGTGTGCTCACGAATGCGCCGTCGCTCCCGGAGCACTTGATACGACTCTCGACGACTTCCGGTGGCACATTATACTCATCGACCGATCGATTTGCGCGGCTCGCGACCCTCAATGCTCAGGCCAACACGGACGTATTCGGCGTCGACACGAGCTTTACTTCGCCCGACAGCGCCCAGAACGGCGTCGCCCGCGCGCTCCATCTCCTCAACACTGTCGTGCAGCCGCTCGTGTCCCCTGAGTTTGCCACCGAATGGGTCGTCGTCCGCGACCACGTTCGGCGTTGTATCTTTGTGCAAGCTACCGAAACAAACTTGCTTCGGCGCATTGACCTCAGCAAACTACGCTTCGCACCGGGCGCGCCCCCCACGTCGTGGAGTCTTGGCCCTGGCATTTGGTTTCTGGACATGGACGACGGCGGCAAGGACCCACTCGTCAACGTTGACACAGCCTAGCTCTACACCCTGGGCTTGACATGATAGTATGGCTTCTTGTACATTGTATACACGTAAACTCGTCAAGGCAGTGTTGGCAGTGCTCTTCATCATCCTCCGGATATGGCATTCCGAAATTCCAGATTTGCATCGGATTCGAAAATTCTGCCATGGGCAAAGTCCACGTGGGCAACTTGGCCGACTCGGTGCGGGAGCCTGACGTGCAAAACCTGTTCGCCAGGTTTGGACGCATCCGATCCGTTCGCGTCCAGAGACCTGCACGCCGACCTGCTTTTGCGCTTGTGGTGCGCAACGCTAGTGCGTGCATCGGCTCACCGACCGACGTAGGAGTATGAAGACCCACGCGACGCGGACGACGCGGTGTACGAGATGCACGGACGCGACTTTGATGGGCTGCGCATGCACGTCGTGCGAGCGGTCGGCAACAGTCCATTCGGTCGTTATGAGCGGTACACACGCGCCACACTGTGGTGACAATGGCTTACGTCGCCGGTGCGCAGACCGCAGCCGCCACGAGGCAGTGCATATCGCGCCAGCGTCACGAACGTCGCCATTGGCACTTCATCGTGCGATCTCAAATTGCTTTTCACCGACCTCGGCGACGACCTTGTGCACGCTGAAGTGGACCGCCGAGGTTGTGGTGTAGCCTCGTTTGCATCGCATCGAGCTCTGCTGAAAGCTATAGCGCTGCTCGACGGCGCCCGTCTCCACGGCCAACCAATACACCTTTGCGAGGTACGTTCACGCGAATGCACTCTGTACTCAACGCTTATAGTCTGCGTTATGCTAGGATCGTCACAATCGGCGGGGTCGGTCCCGGTCTCCGACGCCAGATTTTCGTCGGCGACGCAGCTTCAGTCGCTCACGTTCTCGCTCCTAACTAACAGCAAACTACTGTCGCCGATCAGCAGTGACAAAAGCTAAACGTGCCCGAATATATCAGTGAGCATTGACCCAACGATTTGAAGCCATCTGCTCTCTGCAAAGCAACGTCGTCCACGCGACGAGAACGCCGGTCCTGCTCCGTGCATGTTTGGTCGTGTTATAGTATAGCGCACTTCACCATACTACTCTAGCCGCAATCTTTTTGGCGATGGTGCAGCCGTGTCGTCATCTTTGGTGTCGTCTTCGCTCGCGCCATGCAGTAGAGCTTCCAGCTGCATCCAATGCTCGACGTCCTTGGTATGGAGCGCTTGTTGTTTTATACGCAGCTTGAGATCTTGCACGGAAGCTCCGCCTGGCCGCTGTAGCTTCCAGATGACTGTTTCTCGAAGAGGCCGCCCGCGGGGAACGCGTCTTTCGCGCAGCCGGAGCCGCCGAGCGTTTGCTTCGACGACGCCGGGAACGAGCGCGCAAATATGGATCGACGCTGTGAACTGCGTCTCAGCCCCATCGCGCAGAAAGGCGGACAGTGCCGCGCAGTCGCGGCAATGTGTCGGGTCCGTCGCAATGTCGTCAAGAACAAAGTCGGTGATGGCGGGCACTGGATTCAGCGCCCCGCTGCATTCAAAGGTCGCAAGACTGTGCTTCACCATCTGCATGAGGACGTCGCGGTGGTTGCCTCCCAGCAAGTCTTGAAGCATCAGGATTACGGGAGCGAGGATCGTTCGGTTCGCATCGAGTGTTGTCGGTAGCGCCCCAAGCCATGCTGTTGCAAACGTGGCTATTGTTCCAGGTGCGACGAGTCGGAGAGAGAGGAACGCTGCCGCGACCGGCTTGGCAGAGGCCCTGACAAGCAAGTGCGTCTTCGTCAAAACGAAGGTCGAAATGAGCGACTGCGTCCAAGGCGCGACTGGAGTCGACTGGCGCTCAAGAAACTCCAAGATGCACTCGAATACGCCCATGCCGCAGAGGGTTTCTAAGGCATCAAAGAGAGCTGTGTCGCAGAGTCCAGCCGTCACCATGCATTGCAGGATGAAACTGCATGCACTCGTGCTCACACGCTTGACGCGAGAGGGCGCCAAAATCGCGTGGATGGCTTGCTTGATCGCGGCCACGTAAAGCGGCCAAGGTATGCTCGGGCAGCTCTCGGTTGCCCTCACGAGTGCAAGCGGTAGCACCTCAAGTCGTGTGGCCGCGTCACCGCACAATGCGAGGAGTGTCGACGCGCCGTGCTGACGGGCGTACAAAAAGTTGTCGACGAGGGTAATCACAGAGCGCGGCAAGAAGGCGTCGAGCCAATGGGCGGGAGGCTGCGTTGGTTGCACCATCTCGTCGAGGTACCAGTCGACGAGGAGGATGGAGGCGGCGGTGTTGCCCTGGATCTTTTTTGCATGTTGGCTGACGACGGACCAGCACGCCTTGATGCACTCGGCGACGAACGGCTGCGACAGCTGGTGGCACAAAGGGTGCGGGGCGACACCCGCCAGGCTCGCAAGGAGGTGTACAACCGCGTCTACATGCAGCGTCGCGCTCCACCACGTGACGAGGTGCTCCAAGGCGCCGTATAGTGTGGGCCACGTAAACTTTGTCAAGCAGCCGTGGAGAATGCGCCCAATGTCCGCCCATGGGACTGGCGGCTCGTAGTTGTTTGCGACGCGCAGAATGTCTTGGATGAAGATCTCGGCGATGCTCCAGTCATTGGACGCCAAAACGAGGTGTGCCAACGGCTCAAGAAGCAGCGATGGACTGTGGATGTCGTCGATGAGGCTGGTTGGGGTGGCATTTACCGTAGTGCACTGAATGGTCTTGAAGATCGCCATTGTACCGAGAAGAAGGTCCCGACAAGAGGGCAGCCCAAGACAGCTACCGTCTCGAAGCAGCGACATGGCTGCGTTGACGCCGACGATACCGGCGCGATACTGCTTGGGCCAAAAGAGCAGCGCTGTGCGTGGACCTTCACAGCTTCGACTCTGGAACGTGTTCGGGTCGTTCAAACAGGCATGGACCGTTCGCCCGGCGAGACCCGTGACAACGGAATCGGGCGTGGCGCACGACGGGTGGGGGAAGCAGTGAGTCACTCGGTGTTTCGTAATGCGGGTGATAGTCACATCAAAGGCGTTGGAAAGCACGAGAAGTCGAGCGAGGTTTGCAGCAGGCGCTGCGAGGTCCTCAAACGATACGACAGAGCTCGGCACGAAGTACGCTACACGCTGGGTCTGCGCCATCGGCTTCGCAGCGATGTGATGGAAAGCCGCCATCGCTTCGGTGTATGTGGGCGGGCGAAAGATTGCATCCGAAGCGACGCTGACCAAGCTGTAGACGAGAGTGGTGCGTCGACCGTGCGTAATCGGGGCGGACGACACGTTTGTGCCAGCGAGCGTGGCGGCGTACATGGCATCGCACCCGCCCGCCTTCATTGACGACGTATACACCTTTGTCATGTCGCTAGAGGCGAACGAGACTGCGCCGCCGTCATACGGCGTCGGTAGGAACACGAGAAGCGAGCCAAATGCGCGCGGGTGCACAGTCGGTATGAGGACGTCCGAGATGCCAATGTCGTCGACAGAGAGGTGCGAGAATACGGCGTCGATGTCCAAAGACGCTGGTACTCCGAGCGCCTTCTTGATCTTTGGGAGGATGATACCGGAAAGAACGTGCGACCATTTCCCGATGTTCGCAATGACGGCGTCATCTGTGGCCGTCGCCGACTGCGCGTCCAAGAGTGGCTCGAAGCAGGGCAAGATGCTATCTACGTGTAGGAACTGCGTAGAGCGCTCCAACGTCGCCAAGGCAGTTGCGTATGTGTTCGCTGCCATCGATCGCCGAGAAAAGCAAACTGGTGTTCGTCTGCAACGCCTATTGGCTGATAGGGAAAGAAGAAGTCTCATCCTGATTAAAAAAACTCTAAAGCGTATCAAGCAGTGAGTATCAAGTAGGCCTTTCCGTCAGTCCTTTCAAACTATTTCTTAGCGTCACCGGCATCCCACATCAATATTGTCTGCTGATGTTTCCTAGCCGCAACGGGCGTCGTGCAAGCAAGCACTCCAACGGTTTTTACTGCAAAAGGGCATTTTCCGTATCTTCGAACTTCGCTTTGATGGTATCCGTATGGGATGGACTGCGCAAATTCGAACGGCCGCGCGATGTTCGTGCCACTGAGCTCGGGCGAGGAGAGCTACCTCCGACAGGAGGACGCGCGCCGGCGCCGCAAGCTCCGTCTTATTCAGGTATAGTCTCGCGCAAGAGTTGAGATCGGTAGCCAAGACATAACGTAGGTACGCGAGGAAGAAAAGCGCATCGCTCGCGAGCGCAACGCATGGTACAAACGCCGTGCCGCCGAGTCCACCGAGGCCAAGCGGGCAGAGCAGGCCACAGCATTCGAAACGGAAAAGTTGCTCGTGCTATCCAACTTGCACGACAAGTACAAGGCTGCCCTCGCTGCGATCGGAGACGCACAGCGACATGCGCACGAGTACAACGCCAACATGCAGATCCGCGCCAAGCAGCAGCTGGAGCTTCTCGCTGCGAGCGACGCCATCGTGGATGACCGCTTTAATGGCGCGCTCGTGACGCAACAGAAGATGCAGCTCATCCGGGACGAGCGTGAGCGTGTGATCCGCGAGAACATGCGCAAGGTCCAGGCCATCGCCGAGCGTCAGCGCCGACACGCCGAGAAGGTGGCACTTACGAAGCTTGAGCGCGAGCGCAGCGACCAAGTGCTCAAAGGTGGGATGGCGCGTCGTGTCCAGGAGACAGCAGCGTACGTGACCTTGCCCGCGGACCTGAATACGACCCGACTTCATGCGTCGGCGCCACTCGTCCAGCGCCACAACATCCGCCACGCAAGCGTTATGGACGGCTGGGTCGAGGGCGACAGAAAGCGGCTCGACGAAGACGTGCGCCAGCATACCGCAATGGAGGCCCGCAGCGTCGACGTGCAACGGGCCGTAGCCCGGGGCACGAACGCCCAAGACATCGTGACGGCCCAGCGCGATGCCGACGCCGCCCTTGACTGGCTTTCGTCACTTGAGCGCCAGATGAAGAACGACCCACAGCGCCACGACATTATGTACACGCTAGCAGCAAAGGCTGAGGCCGAGGACGGGGGCGAGGTCCTGCGGGAACGGGCCTTTGAGTCACTCTTCCGCAGCGACCCAGTCAACGACAACCAGGACGTGCCTGCACATGTACCGTTTGAGCAACCCGTGCCTCAAGAAGCCCTTCCGACGCCCAGGAGCGCCGCGCCACGACGACGACGTCCGCCTGCCATTCCCGCGGCTGCCTTTTACCCGCGACTTGAGGACCCGACGCGTGATGGTGTCGTTGCAGACAAATTGTCCCGAGAGACAACCGTGACGGCGCCGCTGACAACGAGTCCCGAAGCTGAGAAACAATCAGTCTGCCCAGAGGCGCTGCTACGGGAACAAGCAGGGACACTCGAGTATGATCACCCAGCGCCTTGGCAGCCGACGGCGTCGCCACCACGAGCCCCGTTGTCGGTACAGCGACCGCCAGTGTCAACCAAGACAAAGTCAATCCCAGAGCCGCAGAAGACTGTGGTTGTGGGCGTCGATGAGTGTGTCAAGCCGCTGACGCCGGTGCTCTCGCCTCCTATCATGCCCCAGGTCGTCCTCGAGAAGCTCGAAGAAGATATCGTGGTGGCGTCGCCCGCACAGTCGCCCGCACCGTCGCCCGCACAATTGCCCGCACCGTCGCCCGGCGCCTCGTCAGTGTCGACACCGGTGCCGAGTCTCAGTATTACGCCGACGTTCTTGCCAACCCATCGAGTGCCAGGGACAAGCGCTACGTCGAATCAGCGTTTTCCGTCGAGTGTTTCGACGCCAGAGGGGTCGATGCCGGTATTGCGCTTCCGCGAGCCCAGTTCATCGTACGTATCCACACCCGTCGTGACGTCTTTCGGGTCAAATACATCGGCCGTACGACCTACGAGTGCGCGGACCCAAGACAACGTCCAAGCCACCCGTGCCTACGAACCGACGACGCCCGATGCGACGGACGCGACGCTCCAGTCGGCCAAGGAAGCGTCCAGCAACAGCGCTGTGAGCAGTCTGTCTGAGCTGCCAAGGCACGCCGACGGACCCAGCGTCGATGTTGGTGACGTTAGCTCTGTCATCATCTCGGAACTGACGCCAAGCAGCGAGCTGCCATCACGCGCAGCAAAATCGAGCATCATGATGAATCTCTCGAGCAGCGATCTGCTGGACGTCAGTAGCGCCAGCGACGACAACTGGGCATCCCTCGACGACCTCGCCCGTCGGTACTCGGTCTCATCTTCGGACGATTCGCTCCTTATGGACAATGTCCGTGCCACGACAGCTCCCAAACCCATACTGTCCCCGGCATCCTCCTCGGTTTCGGTGTCTTCTGGTTCGACGCAGCGCAGTCGCATTCCTCGCAGGCGCATCGGGAACAGCGCTGCCTCGTCCACGTCGTCCGTGCAGACAGCGTCAGCCACCAAGGGCGACGCTCCTCTAGACGATCTACTTTTGCCTAAGCAGCAAAATCGCAGTGCATCGTCGTCGTCGAAGTCGTCCGTGTCGTCGCTGCGACACCAAAGTACGATCAAATGGACAGCCTCGCGCAACTCGGCAACGTCGGGTATCAACACCACGCCGTCGCTACTGCGGGCAAGCTCCGGTGACGACGACGTGGCGCTACTACCTGCGTCCCACTTCTCGACGCTGTCGTCAAGTAGTTGCGAACATGACATGTCGCTGACATCACACCACTCGGCCGCCGAGTCGCCTTCCGCACGCGGCGGTCCGAATGAGGTATTGTCTGCCTGTTGTGGCGCCCTGTCTAATATATGAACTTTGTAGGCACCGATGCTGCTTGAAGAGATAGATTCCGAGGTGAAGATGCCGCTACCATGCTTCGACCTTGGCTCGTCTTTGGTCTCGTCGTCGTCGTCGGACTGGAATGATGCAAGCTCGCTTCTGCGCCAGTCCCTGCGGCGACGATCTCATCAACTTCTCGGCTCGAGCAGCAGCAGTAGCAGCAGTACAGAGTTGACGCCGACTAGCAATCCCACCAAAGCTCGCCAACGAATTCTGGACCTTCTCGGCGGCTCGTCATCGTCGTCGTCGTCGAGCTCAGATGGCTTTGTCGGAACGCCTGGTGTTGAACTGGATGCCGAGATCAGCAACACGCTCCAGCGTATGCAGCGTCTCATGGGCGAGAGCAGCCTCCCGCAGTACACGCTCTCCTCCGTCGGCGACTCGGTTCTAACGAGCGACGTGAGCTCTTCCGTGACAATTGGCCGTACTACCGGATTCACGACCCAGTCCCTACTTGACGACGGCCGTGTCGGCGTTGGAAACCTCTCGTCGAGCGTATCTTTGTCGTCGTCGCTGACTGACACGGCACCGATCTCGCAGTGGTTCTTGGCCGTTCCCAAGGGGTCTGCACCGACGGCTGGTCTCTCCTCCTCGTCGTCTTCAAGTGCATCTGGAGACTCGAAGCTTGCTGTCGCCGACATGTTCGAGCATCCACAGACCGCGCACCCGACTCCACTTACGATCGCCGACGGTCTCGACCGCTCAATCGACGTCGCTCGCCGTACAAGTCCGCGGCACTCGGTCAACGAGATGCTCATGTCCGAATCATCGTCCTTGTCGGACTGCGAGGCCTCCATGGCCGCCAGAGTTTTACCGAGGAAGAGCCCTGCGTCATCGCTGCCGTCACTCGTTTCGGACAGTGAGTGTGATAACACCCCGGACTTTGACTTCCTGGGGGGTCGCCGCATGATCGCCAGCAGTTCGTCCAGTGCCATGTCGAACGACCAGACGCCCGTGCACCACGCCTCAATGCCCAGCGCGTCGGCTTCGTCGGAATCTTTGGCCAACGATCCGACACCCGTGCTGCACGATGCCTTGGGAGCCAGCTCTGATGAACCGGCGGCTTGGCTACCGAGTGCGTCGGCGTCGTCGCAGTCGCTCGCCAACGATCAGACGCCCGTGCAACACGCCGCTTTGTCGACACCAAGACTGCGCTCGGTGGTTCCTATCGACGCCACGATCGAGTTTCTTGGCTCGATGAAACTCATCTCGTCGTCCTCGTCATCGTCAGTGACGTCCAGCGCACCGTCAACCTTTCACGACCCACTGCCCGCAGATCTTTACGCCGGCGCTGGCCTCGCCGATACGTCCCACGATGACGCATACTCGCAATGGCTGGTCGCGCCCCTCGGTGGCCCCCCATCTGCGGTCGCCAGTGGCGATGAGGAAGAGAAGGCTGAGGCACCAGTCGCCCCTGTTGATCTCGCCGTCATCGATTTGTCGCAATTGAGCGCGTCCTCGCACAACGATGACGGTAATGACGAGGCACCCCGCGTGACTGCGTGGTCGGTGCTTCGGACCGAGGACGCTGTCATGGATGCTCCGTTAGCGTCATTTTCTAGGTTGTCCTTGACTTGTCTACCTCAGCTCACGTCGTTTCCTAGTCATCACGGCCTCGATGCATCGTTCGACGATAGCAGCTTTGCTTCCTCGTCGTCCTCGTCGTCGTTGTATACTGGAAGCGAGCCGTCGCTCTTTGCGCAGTCACTGCTGCCACCGATGCCCTATCCGTCGATGCCGATGCACATTCCTCCGCCACCAGTGGCCATCGACTTTTTGAACTCGTCGTCGTCCAGCAGTAGTAGCAACATCAGCCGTCGGCCGTCGCTTCGAGACGACAACGCACCGTCGATCGCCGACCAGCTGCGCTTGCGAAACCCGCAGCTGTTTGAGCGCATGCAACGGCGCAAGGAAACAGTCCAGTACCAAGCGCCACCCGTGCCAGGTACTAACTTTTCCGAACGGCACCTGCATATAAAGCAAGTAGCGTCTGCGCGGTCCTTGGCAGAGCGGCGCACCAAAGCCGAAGCCGACCGCGTTGCGCAGTCGATGTCAACATCGAGCAATCCGACGTTGGAGCGGCTCAGCCACGGCGAGCGCGCACGTGTGTCGTCCAACGAGATGAAATCGCGAAGTCGGCGACTCTACGAGAAGCTGCCAGAGGTCGTGGAGCGCAAGAGGCAGCAAGACATTTTGAGCCAGCGGCTCGAACGGCTGCAGAAGCTTCGTCAGGACGAGAAGGTACAGTCGCAACCTGTTTCGACACCGCCTAGTTTGTGTCCTAGGCGCGAAGGGGAGTCGCCCGAGGTGCTAATAACAGCAAGGGTGCGTAATCGATGAGCGGACGAGGCAACGAAACAAAAAGGCTGCGTTTGACTACTAGAACACACTCTTTGACCTTGCCTTTTTCCACATAAACGAATAGCAGACAGGCTACTACTGCTGAAACACCAGATTTGGTACAGCACAGCCGGATTATAAGCTTAGTAGGTGCGCAGTTGCACTGCAAAAGTGTCGGCCAACGCGCAGTACAAGCCAAGTGGTAAAATACGTGTAAATTCACTGTCAACTCCGTTGCGGGCACTGCATGATGTGGGGAGGGACCGGGCTAGTCCACGCGGTACGTAAAGTAAATGGCGCCGAGTCCCTTCGCATGGTGCTTCTCGATGCGTGGCGTCACAAAATGATATTGGGATGCTGGAGGTGGATCGCGCAAGGGTCGCGAAAGTGCATACCGTGCCCCACGGAAGAGTTGCCAAGGCAACGTACATCGACAACGGCACAAATGCCGTGTGGCTATCGTTATCAGGAGCTCTGTGTGGACATCAATCTGTCCGCATGCAGTTCACGCAAGAAGCAGTAAGAACTCTAGCACGCAGCCTACGCCCGACATGCGCAACATCGTGGTATATATATAGGGCAACGGCGGGATACTTGGAAGACCAGATAAAAAGATCTCATGGCTTGGAGCTCTGCGCCAATCGTTTGGCAATAAAGCTACTACGACTTCTCCAAAGACGCTCCGCCTCGTAGAAAGGACGTGCAACCCGATCCCCAATCCAACTTCAACATGGGCCCAACCGGGTCTCCTGGGGTCTGTCGTCGTTTTCTTTAGTAGTCGATGAGACGAGGCATTGTACTATAGAGTTCTTTGAGCCACGTCCCTGCGCGACCAACTTGACGTGTTGCAGTAGACAACGAAAGACGTGAGGCAATTGAGTGGATTACACAACAGCAGGATGCGTTCGGTGGTCAACGCCAACATGGCTCGAATGATTCGAAGGCTACTGCGCTTCTGATTGGGTAATAATTTTTATCCCCGCGTTTTATTGGTGAACGGTTAGCCAATCGCATGCAAGATACGCCCCAGCAAACTCCAGCTTACGGAACAAAAGAGTTCGCGGCCGAGCAGCGAGGTGCGTCGACGCGGCCAGTTGTCATTCGTCGTGTCCTAAGAATCCTCATGGCAGACGAGCTGCGCGTCACCGTAAACTACCACACGCAGGAACCAATCGCTATGGACCCAGCACCCCGCCCACTCCTGTCGCCCTCCGCGTCGCCGCTGTACCGCGAGCCGTACAAGGTCGCTGCCGTCTACGCGGCCTTCATCCTCTTTGGTCTGGGCTCGTGGATCATGTCCAACTGTACGTTCTCGAAAGCTAAGCGCGGTCAGCTCATCTCTCTTGTAGGCGTCTTTGTCGAAATTGCAGCTTTGTACCAAGTACTGCAACCAAGTCATGGTCATGGCTCATCACCCGCCGTCTCGTAGCGCACACCAGAGAAGGCTGCTATCAGTGCGTACCTGGTAATCGAATTGCGTCATGATCCTCGTTACTAAGCTCGCATAGATTGTTGCGATCCAGGCCTCCAACATCTTTCCTGCGCTCTACATGGTCTTCAACAACGATCAGCAGCTTTTCTCGATCCGCACCGCCATTTGGGGTCTACTCTCGATGGGCATCGTTGTCTGCGGTGCGCAAATGCAGTCGGAAGCATGTAGCACTGATACTCCTCGCTTTTTGTAGTGCTTTTGTCCATTTTCTGGGACCAAACGTCCGTCTTTTTTGGCCACGAGCACAGTACGGCGCTGCTCGTCCTCGTCTTCTTTGGCGGCATGGTGAGCTCCACGACGAGCGTCGTCTATTACCCGTTCGTTGCCACGTTTCCTCCTCTCTTCACGAGGTGCACAGCCTACATGCAGTCACGGTACTCATTCAATGCACTTCCTAGTGCGTTGTCAACGGGCGAAGGTCTTAGTGGTGTCATTGCTGGCGTTCTCGGCATCATCCAGGATCCTGGCGCCACGCACATGCACATCACCGTCGGTGGCTACTTCTTCTATGGCGGTACGCTATCTTCCTCTTCTGGAAGCTCATCTCGGCGTCGTAGCTGTCGTCTTTCTCGTCGCGCTCCTCGCCTTTGTGTTCCTCGTCAAGTCACCGTGGGCGACTCAAATTCAAGCCTCGATGGTGTGACAAGACTCTTCATACCCAAGTCGTCTCACCCGCACTGCAATAGTACCGTGAGGACGGTGGCGACTTTGACTACAAGTTTACCCCGCCCCTCAAGCGCGCTCCGTCGCCAGCGATGAAAATGAACGAGACGCTGCCACTCGTGCTGCCGCAGTCCAAGCACCAGTTCTCCACCGCAGTCGAGCGCCGCAACTACGTCGTCTCCAAGCTCTGGAAGCCTCTGCTATGCCAAGTGGTCCTGTGCGCCATGAGCTTTGGTGTCATTCCGTCAATCCTGCCTTTCCTCGGCAGCAAGTACTCGGTACGCAGCACGCACATGCGCTCGAGCAAGACTAAGGCGCTGAGAGTAGAACAGCGCCGAGGTGTTGAAATGGTCGTCCGTTCTCTCAATGGCTTGTGACCCGCTGGCCCGCTTCCTCACGAGTTTTTACCGCTGGTACAATGTCACGGTGCTCACGTCCCTCACCGTACTACTCGGGGTACGTTTCCGCAGTGGCACCAATGATGGCTCATGACGACTCGTAGGCGCTCATGGCTGTCTCGGCTACGACCGCCCACCCAATCTTTTCGAGCTACGCGCTTGGCGGTATCGCGCCGGTCGTCGGCAATTGCGTGTTTGTCTTCCTCTTTGCCTACTCGCAAACGATGGCGTACCTCACGCTCAAGCGCGAGGTGCGCTACAACGAGGCTTATGCCAAGACAGCGTACCAGTGGTCTGGTTTCCTCGCACAAATGGGCGCGCTTCTCGGCACGGTCATCATCTTCCCGCTCGTGACATACACGACGCTCTTCCAGCGCAGCTACGGCGAGTTATAGGAGACGCAATAGGATTTTAGTAATAATAATAGGTTGCAACGTAGTCTAGTGAGGGTACCACACTTCCCACCTAACGCTTTCGGAGGGTTGTACGCACGTTCTAAGTTGCGATCGCAGCGGCTCATCATAGTCTCTAGAGACACTGCCTGCGACAACGCAGAAAGCCAAGGGTGTAAGGCTTGGATCATTCCAGAGAACAAAGATATTTACACGCAACACGTGCATAAGCGCCTTTTACGGGAACGATGCCATGCTCGATCGCTTGAGCGTCAACATGGCGGCGGCGACTGCAAGGGCCGTCGCGACGTACGTCAGTGGGATCGACGCTTTGCAGCCGACCTCATTCAAGTTGAGCATATTCTAGGACAGCATGCTTCTTGAGTATGTCAGAGTATTGCATGAAGCGAACCGATAGCCCCGAGCCGAGGTGGATGAGCACGACGGCAGCAATGTGCGCAACCGACTTTTTGCGGAACCCTTCAAACGCGACGATCATCAGCGCCACGTCCATGAGCGTAAGCGCGAGCGTCGACAGCGCTGAGCAGACATGAGTGTTGCCACTATTCATCTATCGTCTCGTACCGGACGCAAACACAAGCGGCACGGACGGGCACGAGTCCGTGAACGCCGCACCTTCGCCTTGGACGCTTGCAGCCAAGACCGTGCCATATAGCATGAGTGCTCGCATGAGCGCGAATCCGACGCCAGACGCTACAGTCGCGTCATGCATACCCAGGCCATCAATGGTGGGAAGAGGATCGTACCAAAGGCGGTTGTCAGATCGTTTAGCGGTAGCTGGTTCTGCTTGGTCGTGACCTTCTTGACCGCCAGCTCGCAGCGCACGTACACATTGAAGAAGAGGTAGCGGAAGAGCTCTTGGATCAAGATGGAGATGGGAATCGTCGCTTGGATCGAGGTCTGGAGCGGCGGTATCGCCGTCCAGACCGTGGCTGCGACGAGGAGCCCGAGGAGGTAGAAGAACGCGGCCGTGATAGCGAGGATCACGAGCTGCGCTCGCTGGGCCACGACGAGGAGGAAGAGCGCGCTGATGGGCGCGAAGGCCGTGAGGAGCGAGCCCCAGAAGAGCACCCACTCGGCCATCGGACGCTTCGAATAATCTGCCAGCCGAGGATTCGAGGGGCTTGCGGATCCGGATAATTAGGTATTCTCTTAGTCTACGCTTCCACCGCTGATAGGCACGGAATAACCCGTCTTGCCAGGTGCTTGTAGCGGGGTATTCCTTTCTTGCAACGGCTGGTCCTTGCGATCGCTGCTGTGGGGTTGTGCTGGGATATGCCGCTTGGTGACTACTTGGTTTTTGTATGCTGCAATGTGTAATTGCACGCTGGCTGGATTTCCCGATTCTTTTTCGCTTAAGTGCGATGCGCCATGTTCGATTCTACTTGGTAATTGTATTCGAAATCGAGGGATAGCGTTTCGAATGGCGGGTATTTCCTCCTAAGTGCGATGGCGTTGGGATAAATATAGGCCCAAGCGGTTTTCCCCCTCAGTTGCGGACTGCCATCAGCGCGCATGAGCAGCGCCAGGGACGATCGGAAGAGCCTGAAGGAGGCCGCCGACGAGTCCGGCCGTACGTCCTCGGGCGATGGCAAAGCCAAGGAGCTCTACCGACGCGTGAAGACGCCGGGATCGGGCGCCGTCGCAGCGGACGGCGACGTCCGGCGTGTCTTCCTCAACGACAACGACCAAAACAAGGCGCTGTACGCCACGTGCACCAACGTCGTCGTGACGTCCAAGTACACCATCTTCTCGTTCTTGCCCAAGTTTCTCTTTGAGAGCTTTTGCAAGGTTGCCAACCTCTTCTTCCTCGTCGTCTCGATCCTGCAGACAATCAAGCCGATCTCCAACACGTATGGCCTGCCCACGAACGCACCGACGCTCTTCTTCGTCATCTGCATTGACGCTGTCTTCGCCATCATGGAAGATCGCCGCCGCCATGCCTCGGACTTTGCAGCCAACTCGGCAACCTGCCATGTCCTTGTCGATAACGTCATCGTCGATCGTCTGTGGTCGCAAGTGCAGGTACGACGCTACTACGACGCAAGCCCGGTTACATCAGTCTTGTATAGGTGGGCGATGTCTTGGAGATTCGCAACCGCGAAGTCATTCCTGCTGACGTGCTCATTCTCTCGGTGGCCGAGCCCGACCCCGCCGTGCCGAGTGGTATTTGCTATGTGGAGACCAAGTCGCTTGACGGCGAGACGAACCTAAAGCTGCGCCAGGCGCTGCCAGCGACGATGGGCGTTATGCGTGAGGCGCAAGATCTCGACAAGCTCAAGGGCAGTGTGAGCTGCGAGACGCCAAACCCGTTCATCAACAAGTTTGCGGGGAACATTGACGTGTGGGTGGCTGGCCAGACGTTCCCGAACGAGCCTCTGAGCATCAAGAACGTGTTGCTTCGTGGCTGCACGCTCCGCAACACGGACTGGGTCTACGGCGTCGTGCTCAACACGGGCAGCGACACCAAGATCATGCAAAGCGCGTCGTCGCCGCCCAACAAGTGGAGCGATGTCATGCTCACGCTGAACAAAATGATCGGCATTCTCTGCATCGGCCTCATCGTTTTGTGCGCCATCGCGGCGACGGTCTTCGTGACGTGGCAGAACGAAATTGCCAAGGAAGCGTGGTACCTCCACGGCACCACCACGGTCGACAAAGTCGTGCTCGTGACGACCGGCGATGTGGTCACAGCGTGGTTCACAATGCTTTTCTACTACTTTCTCCTGCTCTACCAAGTCATTCCGATCTCGCTGTACGTGTCACTCACGACCGTCAAGTTTCTCCAGTCGAGCTTCATGGCCTGGGACATTGAAATGTACCACGCCGAGACGGACACGCCCGCGATTGTGCGCACGATGGCGCTCAACGAAGAGCTCGGCCAAATCTCGTACATCTTCTCGGACAAGACCGGCACGCTCACGTGCAACGTCATGGACTTTCGCAAGTGCTCGATCAACGGCGTCTCGTACGGCTCTGGTCTGACCGAGATCGGTACGTTGTACTCCCATTATCGCTCAAGCGTCACGATGACTTTTTAGGTCGGGCGGCGCTGAAGAGAGCGGGCAAGCCGATTCCGCCCGAGCCAAAGATGGAGCCGGGTGTCAAGCAGATCCCGTATGTCAACTTTGTCGACCCAAAGCTCACCGAGGCGATGCAAGGCAAGCATGGGGCCGAGCAAGAGGTGCCTCAATGTCTCCGTGACTGCTTCGTTCACCAACTTTTGCAGGAGCGTACGCATCGTTTCTTCGAGCATCTTGCCGTGTGTCACACGGTTATTCCTGAAATGCTGGACACTGGCGAAGTGCGTCTCTCGGCGTCGTCGCCCGACGAGCAGGCGCTGGTCGCGGGCGCTCAGTTTATGGGGTACGGTGCTTTAATCGAACCTAGCGACGCTGAAACTCGACGTATAGCTACAAGTTTGAGTCCCGCGCGGTTGGGAAGGCCATTTTGGACGTCGGCGGAGAAAAGAAGACGTACGATGTGCTCGAAGTGCTCGAGTTCAACTCGACGCGGAAGCGCATGTCGGTCGTGACGCGCCTGCCGACGGGCGAGCTCTACTTGTACACGAAGGGCGCCGACATGATGATCTACCAGCGCCTCTCGACCGCGTCCAAAGCACTCGAGGCGATCACGTCGCAGCATATGGAAACGTACGCCGACGACGGCCTTCGTACTCTTGCTATCGCTATGAAGCGGCTCGACGAGGATTTCTTTGTGGACTGGGCAGCCAGATTTCGCTCCGTGTCTGGCTCGATCCCGGAGCTTGAGAAGCGCAAAAACGGTGCGCGCAACCAGGACCAACATATCGTTTAACGTTTGGGACGTAGGTGAGTCCAACGCAATCGACGACCTCATGGAAGAGATGGAGTCCAACTTGGATCTCATTGGTGCGACGGCCATCGAGGACAAACTCCAGAACGGCGTGCCCGACTGCCTCTCGGCGCTCAGTGCGGCCAAGATTAAAGTCTGGATGCTTACCGGCGACAAGGAGGAGACGGCCATCAACATTGGATACGGTATGCCGCTCGTGTTGAGGTCGAAAAAGTGCTCACGTTGTATGTATAGCATGCGCTCTCTTGGACAACTCGATCCACCAAGTCATCATCAACATGGAGAACTGCTCGACGCCTGACTTGATTCGCCAAGCACTCAAGTCGGCCGCCGAGGACTACGCTGCGAAGAACGGGAAGGAAGACTTTGCGCTCGTCATTGACGGGGTTGGTATACCGTTTCGTGCTTCCTTTAACGAGAATATTTGTTGCAGGAGGCCCTCGAGATTGCACTCAAGCCGCACATGAAGATGGACCTTCTTGGGCTCGCCCAGTATTGCGTCGCCGTCATTTGCTGCCGCGTGTCACCGGCGCAGAAGGCGGACATGGTGCGTCTCATCCGTGAAAACATCCCCGAAGCTCGGTAAGAATGTATGCATTGAATGTTTGATTTTTATGCCGTGGGTGGGCGTAGGACGCTGGCAATCGGTGACGGTGCCAACGACGTGGCGATGATTCAAGCTGCCCACGTCGGAATCGGTATTTCGGGCCAGGAGGGCATGCAGGCGGTCAACTCGAGCGACTATGCCATCGCGCAGTTCCGGTTTTTGAAGCGACTTTTGCTGGTGCATGGTCGGTGGAACTACCTGCGCATTTCCAAGGTCGTCGTGTACATGTTTTACAAGAACATTACTCTCGTGCTCGCTCAGTACTGGTATGTCAACTGCGAACGTCATGAGTGGCTACTAATGAACGTTAGGTATGGGTTCCTCAGCGGCGCGTCAGGGTCCAAGGTCTACTGGGAAATCGGCGTTCAAGTTTACAACATTTTCTTCACGGGACTTCCCATCGTCGTCCTGGGCGTCCTGGACCAGGACTTACCCGATCACATGAGTCTCAAGTTCCCTGCGCTTTACGGCGTCGGGCCGCAGCGCCAGCTCTTCAACTACTACACGTTCTTCCGGTGGCTCTGCGCGGCCTTGTACGAGTCGATGGTCATTTTCCTCGTCATGGTCTACGGGTACAACCCGAGCCACAGCTCTGTCGGCAGCGAGGCGCGTGTCGAGTACGGCATCGTGGCCTTTACTCTGGCTGTCCTCATCGTCAACCTCAAGGTCCTTTCGTTCCCGGAGTGCGTAGGAACTCATATGCGTCCATAGATTACACTCATCATGTGCAACTGGACGTGGGTGCCGCGCATTACGTGGTGGGGCAGCGTCCTCTCGTGGTTCCTCATCGCGTTCCTCTGCCTCACGGTGATCCCTTACTTTGTCAAGCTCAAGGTGAGCTACGACGAGTTCGGCGCGTTCGTGCCCACCTTCGTCTCGGGCTCGTACTGGCTGCTCCTCGTCATTGGCTGCACGCTCGCGCTCGGCCGGCACTTTGCTTGGAATCAGTTCCAGCGTCTCTTCTACCCGGAGCTATTCCAGATCCTCCAAGAGGTTGTTGATGAGCGATAGACCAGACTCCTCATGCTCCGTATAGAGTGTCATGATTGAAAAGAAGAAGGCGCATCGGCTAACGATCACGCACATGGAGGAGGCGCCGCGACCCGACCTGAGCATGACACTCGACGACATCACGCCTGAGGAGCGGTCGCGCTTCAACTTGGCTGAAGACACGGTCGCCGACACGATGGCAACGACGCTGAGTCGGCCGCAGCAGCTTGACCGGCGTGCGACGCTTCAGCGGCTGAACACGGGCTATGCGTTCAGCTGCGACGAGGAAACGACACTGGTTGAGTCGTTCATTGCGACAAATCACACGCATCGCCAAGAGCCGAGCAACGTGCCGCGGCGCTCGATGAGCATCAACGACTTCAAGTGACGTCGCACAAGGATATATTGAAGAGAAATGAATACAATTGCATGCTATACGTAGTAGTATGCACCGAGTTAGGTCGCGAGCGGCTTGGTCGCGACCTTGAGCTCCATGCACGTGTCTTCGATCGCGCGGAGCATGGCTTCCATCGTTTCGAATTGCGCCTTCTTCTCGTCGTTAGCCAAGAGCATGCCCTGGACCTTCTCTGTGAGCGCCTGCATCTCCATCATCATCCACGGGTGCACGTCGCCCTTCTTGAGGCTGCGATCAAGGACCGCGGCGGGTGGTGCAGTCTCGTGCTGCTGCGTCATGGCGTTGGCGGCCTCGCGCCCGTACTTGAGGGCGACAAAGGTGCGCTGGAGCGTGAAGCCCACAGCCGCCAGCACACCGCGCGGGAACGGAAACGCGTACTTGTACACGAGGTCCTTGTCCATCGTCGCGTACGCGTCATGGAGGATCGCGGCAAAGACGTTGAGCGCGATGAGAATGACGAGAATGTAGAACGAGGTGAAAAACACGGGCGCAAAGCCGGCATTGGCCGCGGCGAGCTCGGCATAGTCGAGGCGGAAGCGTAGCGCCTCGATGAGCGTCACGAGGCCTTGGCCAAAGGTGTGGAAGGATGGGGCTTGCGTCGAGAAGGCCACAAAGCCCGCCTGACGAGAACGATGTCATATGCATTCCTCGCGAAATGGTACTACCTGCGCATAGCCAAGGAGGCAGATGGAAAAGAGGAGCAGAAAGCTCCAAAGGTCGGCGCTGGCCTTGGCGAGGACGCGCACCAGGATGAACATGTTCTGCGACATCTATTGCAGTCGGATGCTACTTGGTCATCGAGTGGGCTATTCGTACCTGAGCGTACTTGAACACGACGGCCCACGTCAAGAGCGCGTTCATCGCGTTCACGGAACGCTCTTGGCGACCCAGTGTCGAGAGAAAGTGCAATTTGGAGAGGACGCTCGCGGTATCGATCGTCGACCAGTCGATGGTCACGCTGTAGACGTCGTTGATGGCCGCAAGGCGGAGCGTAATGACAGCGATGAAGAGAGCCATATTGATGCCGTGAGCAATGTTCCAGAACGAGCCGAAGTACTTGCGCGGCGAGTGGCGCAGTATACCAAGAAGCAGCTCGAGCGTGTAGAGAACGACACCGATCACCAAGAGTCCTTCGAAAAAGATTTTGCCCGCTGCACTCGACGAGTATGCAGAGAGGTCGACGACGGAGGACGTGAAGCTAGTGTACACCCCGCCGGTCGGTGGTAGCTCGAGAACCACTGTCACGAGGTTGAAGAGCTCCAAATAGGGGTTGAAGACGGCAGCCTCAAGCACGACAGCGCGTGTCGCGATGTCAATAAACTTTGCCGACTTGAGCGCGCGAAGGACTGAGCGTGCATCCGATACGTTGGCTGGCAAGTCGACCACAAAGCCAGAGCCCGGAATCGAACTAAAGAATCCCGGTAGCGCATTGCTCTGTGTCATGTCCGAGCTCGTCCAGTTGTAGGTGTAGACCGGCGACGGCGCCGACGACGATGGCGCGACACAGTTCCCGCTGGAATAGAAGCACGTGCAGCTAAGAGAGCACATGTTGGCGTACGCGGCTGCGTACCGCGCTTTATCGATACCGTAGAGACCGCCGACAGCAACTTCGCAGCCACTAAGGCACTGCAGAAGTTGCGCGTACGACTTGGAAACGCCAAAGTAAGTCGAGGCGAATGTGTACGCGGCAAACGCAGAAACCGCGTCCGAGTTGAGCACCGGGCCAAAGCCCACTCTCGACTCACTGGTCAATGACAAGGCGCCGTAGCAGTAGGACACCAAGGTCGCGTACTGACTCTGGAGCGAGCATGAGTTGGGCGTCACGCGTACTTGGCGCAGGCGGACGTTGCCGATGACTTGGTTGGCACCCAGCACGGGTGAGGCCATTGTGGGGAAGAATGTGTTGGCGACTGGTCCTTGCAGCCAGTTCCACACGTCCCCCACGGTCTCGACGCCGGCGAGCGAAATGTCGACGTTCGAATCGTCACCCGACGGAAACGATGTATCGCCCACCGCGCGAGCAACACTATCGCTGTAGTAGAAACACGATGAGGTGCCCCGGTTGTACACCGTCACGATGACAAACACGACGAGGAAGGTGAGGTAGCACACGGCTTCGCGCATGCTTCCGTAGGCCTTTCCGCCCGGGGCACGAAGACGTGACGCGGATGGCGTCCGCGTTGGTGCTGCCGTGGGCAACTCGACGGCTCGGATCTGCTCCTCGGGGTGGATCTTCTCGACCGCGTTGTGGTTGCTCGTCCGACGCATCGTCTGAAACTGACCCTACCGGTTTCGCCGCAAAAAGTACAACAGCCATCCGGATACGCCCGGAAAGCTGGGACGCGCCGGCATCAGAGAAACGCGATGGGGTCGTTCGTGCCATCGCAGGCAGCGCTTGCGGCGGTCGCACGCCCCGTGCTCGTGACCGTGCACGACGTTTGCGGCCGCGGCCTCCAGCTTCTTCCGCTTGAAGCTTTCTTGGGCACGTCCCTCGGCGGCAAGTTCGGCGTCCGGCCTTTCCGCTTCGACCCCAACACGCAGGTGCGCAACATGTTTTCACCATGCTCGCCTCATGGGCCGCGTCTTTTAGCGCCTTCAAGAGTCGGGCCTTGGTAGTGCGCCTTGATCGCAGTGATTGATTCACTCGCTGCGTAGAGCTTGTCGACCTCCTGCACACAATCAAGCCCTACAGCTCGATGGAGTCGTGCTACTTTGTGACCCATGGCTACGGCGCCCTCGTGCTTCGGGTGCAAGCATTTGCGGCTTTGGGCATAGGTTTACACTTCCAACTGTTGTATTAGGAGGCTTTTCGCTACATCGATTGGGACACGACTCGGACCAAGATCGTCATGCTCGCGCCGCCCAACCGCGGGTAAGCTCGATCGTACAAGTACGCCACTCCATTGTGTGCAGGTGCGCCTATTACTCGGTGCTCAACTCGATCATCGACTCGAGCGTCGCGATCGACGAGCTATCGACAATGTCGCCAACGTTTCTGGACGCACGCCTCGGGAAGCTGCCCAAGCTTTGCCGCCCGATGATTCTGGCAGGGTCTCTCTCGCTCAACCCATGGAATCAGTGGCAATACCCGACAGACGGCGTTGTCTCGGTCGACGAGACGCACATGCCGGGTGAATATCAGCACTTCGTAAGTATGGTGCGTCCAAGCCGACCTCATTGTTTCTTTAGGTTGTCAATGCCACGCACCACACGCTACCGTACCACCCCATGAGCTTGGAACTTCTCGTTCGCTTCTTGCGAGGCTAACTAAAGTGTGGTACTGTCCTCGAAGCAGAGTGCTGCGATAGAGGTTTCAATTAGATGAAGCCATCGAACCCGCCAAAGTTGAAATATCTCTTTCAAATTATTCGAAGATACTTGGATCGTCAAAGAAGATGCACGACTCGGTAGCGGCGACCGTCGCGACAAGAACGACGTTTTCGGTGATACCAAGTTCTGTCACGACGTCTTCGTAGACACTGGCAATTGAGGCTGCAATCGCGTCGGTTTGGCACCAAATGTGTAGGATTGACTTGGTGTAGCGCTGGGCTTTGCAGACACCAGCACGCGCCACGACGAGGCCGAACAGCTTCTTCTTGAGCAAGTGCATAGCATCGCTTGCCGTCCATGCCGCGGGGTCTGGAAACTTCATGGCGCGTGTGACGCTGACAGCGATGCGGCAGTCGGGCGCCAGTGAGCAGAGGTAGTCAACTTTCTTCCAGTTCTCGCTCCAATACTTGATTCGCATCTCGGTAACGACGTCGAAGGCGCCGAGGAGTTCATGCATGTATTGCATCGAGAGCGCCTCGGACACGATGCTGTTACCGCCGGCGTTTGGCTCACGCAGTATCTGAAGAGCGTCAGCCTCGAGATCCAGGCGACGAGCCCCCGGGTGCCGTGCAAACCGGTCGAGCGAGAGGAAGACCGGGCACGGCGCGACGGCCGTCAGTGCGGCCTTAACATTGACGTAACGCGTCAGAAGCGTAATGCTGAATTGACGCCGCATCATGATACAGCAAGCTGGCGTCGGGTGGGGCGTGAAGGCACAAAGACCCGAACTGTTCTTCTTCATCCCATTGTTCGTTGCCACCGGGAACGCACGACTGAATTGAGGCGGCGGCGACGAAAACGCACGAGGTTGGCGCGGACCCGGTTGGAACCACGTACGAAGGCTCGGTCGTTGCTGCTTGGGTTGATATCGTGGCCGTGGTCATCATGGTTGTTGGGGGTGGTTGTGAATACGGTAGGCGAGGACTGCGCAAATGAAATTGTGTGCTCACGTCGTGACGATTTCTTCCTCAGGCCGACGTGGGCGAATGTGAGTGATGGTCCACGACTGCGACCACAAGAACCGCAGGTGCCCATTCTCATGTTCATGGAAGAACACTAGACGTTGAATCGTGTACTTGAATATTGAATCTACGATCGGCTGCGCAAAAAGTCATGTCACATTCCTGTGGCAGCCCAGGTGAACTGCAGCTTCAACCTGGGTTGCCACGGGAATGTGACAGGACTTTTCTTTCGAGCTTCAGAGGCGCAGTTGATTGACGGCAATGCTAGGGTTCAATGCACTGCAAGAGAAGCTACATCACGCCTATATATTCATATTACACTGCAGCATTAGCGATATGATGATTATTTTCCACGTATCCACATAGAAGTTCCCTTCCGGTCAAAACACAAACTACACCCCGGTGGTGCAACGCATGAAAGTGTGCATGTAACCAGGTATTAGCTAGATGAAGAGTCCTTGGGTGCCCGACTTGTTGTTCGTGGTCGGGGCATAGTCAGTGTTGCGTTGGTCACTGCGGGTCGAGCGCGTCCGGTTTTCTGCCGCGTGGATTGCCGCCGCCTTGGAGCCTACATTTTTGGGAGGTGAGTGTTACCTCCCTTGCTTCGATCACGCACCACCAACGTTGATGGTTGTCATGACAGATTCCGCCATCGCCGACTGCGTGTCTTGGCTAAAGGCAAAGCCGCTGCTACGGCGCGAGAACGACTTGGACGACGACATGCTCTACCCATATGATGAGCAATGAATAGTGGCTGAAGCGTTTTACGTGGCGGCTAAGGCTGCTGCTGTTCCGTGAGAAGCGGTTTAGGTAATCGTGGTCGTCTTGCACGTGGCGCTGCGGCAAGGACGCCACTGTGCTGTTCTTGTCATTCATGGCTTCATAATCGCCCGACTCGAGCTCCGTTGGACTCTCCATCGACTTGGGCATCAGGCCGAGCACGTATTTCTACAAAATAGGCGGCGTCAACCCATGTGGTTAATGAGGTTTAGGGTACTTCTTGGACGATTTGCCACAAGAACGGGTAGAACGACCGTTGGAACGCAACCCAAGAAAAGTGGCGCAAGAGACACATCATGCAGGCGACAGGAATCACGAGCCAGAACGTTGAGCCTAATGTGAATAGCTTATGTGCATGTTTCCGTGACCCATCGTACCGTTAAGAGTGTTTTGGGTCGTGCCATAGTCCGAGGGCGAGAGCGAGTACCAGACAGACTCGACGTACAATGTCACCGGGATGTACGAGAGCACACCGAGAAACCAGAGAACGCCGCCCCACACCATCCACGACGACTGCATCGCGATGATCTACGTGCGTGGGATGAGTTTTGTGAGGTAGACATGGGTGTACCTTGAGGTTGCAAACAAAGACGACGAGGGCAAAGATAAGGATGCCGTATTGCTGGATGTTGGCGGCGCCGATACCGTGCTCGAGCTGGTTGTAGCCGTAGATGGCAAAGACAAAAATGACGGCCGACTCGAAAACAGCGGCGCAGATCCACTGGAAGAAGACGCGCGTGTTGAAAAGCTCGCCGTTGAGGCCCACGCGGTACAAGGCCGGAAACTGCGCGCCGACGCTCCACGGCACGTCGTAATCGAAGACGCCAAGCACGATGATCGGAAGCGACGTGAAGCACAGGTTATACAACTGGAACGCGACCTCCGAGTAGGCCTTCTGGCCGGACGAGCCTATTTGAAGTGAGCACCGAGTCCGTTGGCAAAAGTGGTACCAGTCGCAAAGAGGTAGTAGTACTGCGCGAGAACCATGACAATATTTTTGTAAAACATGTAGCCCACGAGCTTGGACATGCGAATGTAGTTGAGGCGGCCGTGGTGGAGCAGGAGTTTTTCCAAAAAGTAAAATTGTCCGATCGCATAGTCACTCGAGTTGACGGCTTGCATGCCTTCCTGGCCGCAGATGCCAACGCCAATGTGTGCGCGCTGGATCATGGCCACGTCGTTGGCGCCGTCGCCAATCGCGAGCGTCCTAAACCAAGCATGTGAGCTTGGCGAACCAGGTGAGAAAAAATAGATACCGCGCTTTGAGGTTGTTGTTGCGGACGAGGGCGACGACTTCAGCCTTTTGCGACGGGGACACGCGGCAGCAGACAACGCTGTCGCAACGCATGGCCACCTTGAGAAACACCGCGCAAGTGTCAATATCCTGCATGACGAGCTCGAGTGCGTCGCCATCAATGACGAGCGACCGCCGGACACCAGGATTCGTCTCGACAGCCGTCCAGCACTCGCGCAGGTGCACCGCGACCGCATCCAAGTCTGGGTACTCGTCCATGTTGAAGATGTACTGTTCCATGTCGTTGTCCATGAGCTGGCACGCATACGCGATGTTGATGGCAGTCTCTTGCTTGTCACCCGTGAGCACCCACACTTTCATGCCGGCCTCCATGAGGCGCGAGATCGCACGGGGCACGTTATCCTGGAGCTTGTCTTCAATTGCGGTCGCACCGAGAAGCACGAGGTCTTGCTCGATCGCCGTCATGAGCCGGTCGATCTCGTTGGCGTCACCGCGCTTCCGCTTTTCAATCTCTTCGAGTGATGCGCACGCCGCCTACCATTGCGTTGACGAAATCACAAGAGAATGGACGCAGTACGTACGCGGTAGCGTTGCGACCACTGCATGTACTCTTCGCGACTAATTGTCTTCTTTGCAATCGTGAGCGTCCGGAGACCGTCGTCGGCAAACGCTTCGAGCTGGCTAAAGGTGGCTGCGATCATGTCTGGATCATTCAGGCTCGACGAGAGGAGCGGCGCGATGACATTGTCGGCGCCCTTGGTCAAGAGCAGATACTCGCCTTGCGGGTCCTTCACGACGCAGCTCATACGCTTGCGTTCACTATTGAACTCGAGCACGTCGCAGACTTGGTACTCCCAGAGCTCGCTCTCGCCCTTGGCGTGGAGCAGTGCCTTGTTTGTAATGCGAATGCGGGCGACGCCCAGCCCCCGAGACTCGAAGGAAAAGCCAAAAAACTTGGCCGCCGAGACGAGCGCTTGCTCATCGGGCGACGAAGCAGAGTATCTATTACGGTGCACCGAGTGAGGACATTGAGAGAGCGTAGGAGTATCGAACCGAAGACCGACTTCGCCATGCTTGTCCGTAAACTCCTCCGGGATCACCGTGTGGCAAATCGCCAGGTGCAGAAAAAAGTCGGCCTCCTTGGATAACTCGACGTTGTCGTTGAGCGGGATCGTCTATCTCGAGTCTGAGATCATATACATGCATGCACAGTTGTACGTTGAGCTTGTTGTGGAGGCGCGGATCTTCAAAATTGACGTACGGAATCTGAGTTCCGGGCTTGACGACAGACGACGGCTCCGCGACCGGAACGCCTTTGCGCTTGAGGGCAGCACGACCTGACATATATCGTCATCGACGAATCCATTCCAATATTGACGCACCAATCTCGGTCGTGCCAAGACCGTACGAGACGCCGTTGATCGAGCACTTGCGAAACTCCATGACGTTGCACGTGAGCGTGCCCGTCTTGTCCGAGAAAATGTATGAGATCTGGCCGAGCTCTTCGTTAAGGCCCATAGTTCGCACAATCATGCGCACGTCTGGAAGAACGATTCAGAGGTGTATCCAGAGCCTTTCTGCAACGCACCGAGAGCTGCATAGTAGACGTCCATGTCCCACGCCATAAAGATCGCTTGCAGAAACATGACGGTCGAGATGGTCACGTAAAGCGAGACGGGAATCATCTGGTACATGAGGAGGAAGTAGCTGCCGCACGCCACGATCCTAAAGCGAGCGTTACGAACGCCTGCAGTGACGCAATTACCAGCGACTGAAGCCCGTGTATTCGTTCTTGGTGAGGTAGCACGAGTTGTCTTCGGCGTGGCACGCATATTGGTTGAACGATTGCTCCTGCGCACAGCATTTAGCGTCAAGAAACCGCTTCGCAGTGGAAGGTACCCAGGCGTATTGCGTCGACGCAGCAATGGCGCAGACGAGGAGGAGCATGAGCAGCAGCCACTGGATCATGACGTTGACTTGGTCGTTGATCGAGCTCCACTTTGCCACAGGCTTGGACGCGCTCTGCATGATCTTCGTGTCCGGGCCAGTGTTGAGCACGAGACCGTACATCCACTCTGTGTTGCGGAGCTGGCAGCCGCGCAAGAGGATGTTTTTGATCGAAATGGGCGTCTTTTCCATGCCGTCGACAAGGACCGTGCCCGCGAAGCGGCTGATAGCTTTGTTCGGTTGCTCGCACTCAACATGGCCGTGCAGTCCAAGTACTTCGGCCTCGGATTGAGCTTCAAGCGTCGTTTCGAGCGCCTGTCGGAGCTTAAGGTTCGTCTCGCCGTCGAGCGACTTGGTCTCGACATAGCAGATGCCACCCTTGTTGTCGGGGTCATTTTCGTGGACAGCGAGAATCAAGAGATCCGCCGGCGCCGTGTCGCGGTTTCCCAGCTTGACGATTGAGCCAACCGTAAGGTTGGCCCACAAAATAGTCTCGAGGCTGCCACTCGCCGTCACGACTTGACATTTGGCCGAGTTGGCTTCTTCGTCAGCAAGGTGGCGCCGACGGTCTTCGATGATCGCAAGTACACCATCCACCTAGCACGTTGACGTTTAAATCGGAGGCTTTAGATGCGAGCAAATTACGGCGAGGATGAACAAGAGCACGGGCAGCGACGACGGCAGACTACCGCACGTATGAGCTATCTTGTTTATGGGCATAGGATACGTACTTCGCAGTGTTGGAGATTGCGGGCACGCACTGCAGCACGGACACGACGAGGAAGTAGGCGTTGGCGAGCTTCTTGAAGCTTTCATAGAGGAACTTGGGCAGGAAGGACCATGCCGTGTACTTGGACGTGATGACGACGTTCGAGCAGAATAGCCCTGGGGCCTCAGCACCGCGCGGGTTCAGAAGCACGTGGCGGAAGTCGCTGGCTGGCGGTGCAGCCTTGGGCGAAGCGGTTGCCGCCTGGTACGGAGCGCCGGGCGTCGTGTCGCCGGCCATGCTTGTGTAGTCAGTGCGCCGACGAAAACTAAAGCTCAAGCATGTGTCACATTTGTATGGTACCGACTCGCGCGCTGTGATTGGCTCTTTTCTCGCATTTTAATTGATTCGAGCGACTTTGTTTGCAGCGAACAAATAGCAAATTTTCCCGTTGGTCGCTCCATCCATTTACGCCGGAGGAACTGCTTCGGGGGCAAACCCAACTACGCGTCTCGTTCGTTCATTCTCACAGCAATAGTGTTTCGGAGCTGAGGTAGCTCTAAGCCTCGCGAGAGCTGGACGAATTGGCACCGTTGGCGTGCGACATGTGTCGTCGTCATCCAGTTCACGCTAGTTTGCGACAGATGCAACGACGCGCATTCCTTAGTTAGTCGCTTCCAGTCGCTGACACAACGAAAGGGCGGCCGCACTTAGCACGGTGGATGCAAGGCGCACTTATGCGGCGCGGCTTGTTTTGCGGCGAAATCCGAAACTCCTGCCCAACGGTCGGCGGCCTAATTCGGGCCAGTTGCCTCTTTGCGCCGAAGAAGAGAAGACGATGGGCGACGTCGCGGAGCTCAAGAAGAAGTGCGAGGGGCTCAAGGACAAGATCCAGGCCGTGCGCAGCCAAAAGTCCAACGGCGGCTTTGAGAACGATGGCACCAAGGCGATCCCGGCCGCGCCCAAGTGCCGCCGCGTGCTCAAGGGCCACTTTGGCAAAATTTACGCCATGCAGTGGGGCGGCGACTCGTCCAGCCTCGTGAGCGCGTCCCAAGATGGCAAGCTCATCGTCTGGAACGCCATGACGACCAACAAGGTCCAGGCCATCCCGCTGCGGTCGTCCTGGGTCATGACCTGCGCATACGAGCAAAAGCAACGCAACATGGTGGCGTGCGGCGGTCTCGACAACCTCTGCTCCATCTACCACCTAGGGTATGGCTTTAGTATTGCCAAAGACTGTGGCGTCATGTCGACGTAGGCAAGCGCAGGTCATGCGTGCCGCGAAGGAACTTGCAGCCCACGACGGCTACTTGAGTTGCTGCCGCTTCATAGACGAGACCAACATTATTACGAGCTCGGGAGACTCGACGTGCATCCTTTGGGGTACGAACCGAATATGAAAGGCGTGAAAGCGCGCATCCGCGTGTAGATGTCGAGTCGGGCGAGGTCAAGACGACCTTCAAGGACCATACAGGCGACGTCATGTCAGTGGCCATCAGCGCGCTACATCCCAACATGTTCATCTCTGGCTCGTGCGACTCGACGGCCAAGGTGCTACTAGACTCATTTTTTGTCGAACTACACACGTGTGCTTGAAAGGTTTGGGACTTGCGCGCCGGCAAGGTGACGCACTCGTTCCATGGCCACGAGTCGGATATCAACTCAGTCGACTTTTTCCCCAACGGCACAGCGCTTGGTACAGGCTCGGACGACTCGAGCTGCCGCCTCTTTGACTTGCGTGCGTACGGCGAGGTCAACAACTTTTCGAACGACAAGATCCTCTGCGGTATCACGAGTGTGTCGTTCTCCAAGTCTGGCCGGTTCCTCTTTGCGGGCTACGACGACTACAACTGCTACTGCTGGGACACGCTCAGCAACACGGGCCAACACGTGTACCAGCTCACGGGTCACGAAAACCGCGTGTCGTGCCTCGGGTACGCAGCATCGGGATGCCATGGGTCCGTCTGACAAAATGCTAGGGTGAGCCCGACAGGACAGGCTCTCTGCACGGGCAGTTGGGACACACTGCTCAAGGTCTGGGCCTAGTCGTCCCAAGCCACCACTGCTGCGAAACCAACGAGCTTGCTTGTTGAATCGCTTGTGCATTATATCATCATTCTCTACGTAATCTATACATATCTTTAAACGTCAGAGCGGCGCGGGATGAAAAACTTGCGGCCTGCCGCGCGGTTGGCCGCGATCTGGCGCGCCCGCTCCTTGCGCATGGTCATGAGGCCATGGTGGCTCATGGCGTGAATCGCGTTGGGGTCTTCGTCGAGTAGCTCCGTGTACACGCGGTACTTTTGCGTGAGTTTGCGCAGGTTGTAGGCGAGTTTGGGGTGCAGGTTCAAGCCAAGACGGTCCATCTCTTCAAGCGTCGAGAGCGCGCTGCGCAGACGGCTCTGCCGGGCATAGTAGTCGACAAGGTATCCGTAAAAGTCAGCATCCGGTGAGACGCCGGCGGCCTTTGTCTCGCCAATGAGCGCCTCGGCGCGCTTGAGGCGCTTGGCGCGCAAGAACATGCGCATGAGGCTTCTGTAAGTGAGTGCGTCCGGCTTGAGGCCCTGCATTTGACGTGAATGGCGGGGCAGATTCGTTGGAGAAACGTACGTGCTTCGGGAACTCGGTCGCGACAAAGTCGAGCGCACGCTGGATGCGCAGGGCGTTCGCGAGCACACTGAGCGCAGCGTTGAGGAGCTCGGTGGAGGGTCCATTGGCCGCGAGCGCATCGTCATAGATGTGCTGGGCCGTAGCGATATTGTCTTCCTGGAACGACGTAAAGTTGTCCAGGTCCACGGGGTTGTACTTGAGCGGGTCCATGTCACGCATTACGTCGTCGGGGTCCATAGTGAGGAGTGCATCCGCCTCGTCCGCCTCCTCTTGAGCCTTGGTGCGGTGCGGCCGAAGGTAGCGCTCGAGCTCGTCGCGCTCGGTTGGCGTGAGGCCGCGGACGCGCTCGACGGATCCCACTTCGCCGCTTTCGTCCCAGTCGAGGTCCTCTTCGCCCTCCCAGTCGTCCTCGTCGTAGCCCATGTTGTCGTCTGAGTAAACGCTAGCCCAGCATGAGACGATATTCGTTGAAAAGAATGGGTCGTACTCTTGGCGGCCCGGCCGGTCGAGGTCGATGACTTTGCCCTCGTCGTCAAACTCGGTGCGCTCCTGGATGATTGGGTTGACGGCTTCGGGCGGCGCAATGTTGGAGCGCGCGAGCCGCACGACGGCCTTGACTTGGGCCCGGGCGTAGACCTGTCACCAAGCGTTTATACGACGGCGGCAACAAGCACGAGGAGTACGTGAAGGAGATGCGTGCGCAAAATCGGCGTCTGCGGCACGTTGTGGCGCTTCATGTCCCACACGAGCTTCTCGGCGCCGCGAATGTCGCCATGTCGCGCGCACGCAAGGAGCATGTTGCCGTACGTGATTAAATCCTACGCGCAATGATTAGGGCTTGCGATGTTGATATGACACGTACCGGGACGTGGTCGTACTGGTCTTGCATCTCGTAGTAAAACTCCCAAGCCTTGTGAGCGTAGTACGGCGAGTTGGCGCAGGCCAGAATCAGGTTGTTGTACGTGATCGTACACGGCGTAAGGCGGAGCTCGAGCATGTCTTCGAGGAGGTTGATCGCGCGCTCGACGCGGCCGGCTTTGGCGTAGCCGTAGATGATCGAGTTGAACGAGACAAGCGACGGCTGCGCGACGTGCGTGCGCATGAGGTGGAATGTTTCGAACGCGCGGTCCAGATCGTTGACTGCGATCGACGAGTTCATGAGGATCGTGAACGTGATCAAGCTCGGCCGGATACCGTTGGCTTGCATCTTTTCAAACATCTAGACATAGCGGTGAGCTACGAGATGGCCAATGTATCGCCGTACGTTGTAGGCCCAGTCGGGGCGCTTTGCGCGCGTGCACGCTTGCATGACCGAGTTGTAGGAGTGCTGCGTTGGTTGCATGCCATGCTCCTTCATGCGACCGAGAACGCGCACGGCCTTGGCAGCCTCGCGGTGGTGCGCCAGGGCGCAAATATGGTACACGTAGCAGCGCTCGGTCGGGATGAGAGTCGGCGAGAGCGTACCACGACTCGGTACTACGGCTGACGAAGCCGAAATCGTCGCCTCGGGCACCGGTGAGCCGCCTTGGTTCGCTTCCAGCTGCGCTAAAATTGCCTCTGTGGCGTCCACACGGCCATGGACGGCGAGCACACGCATGACTTCGACAAGGTCGTCAACGGTTTGGTGCTTGTGCGGCAGCGAGTAAAACTCGCGCGCAACGTCTTCCGGGTCCAAGTCGCGCAGAGTCACGTCAATGGCGTCTGCAAAGTCATATTCGCGGTGACGGCCAGAGTTCATGAGCTCGTCGTACGCCAAGTCGTACTCTCGCGTGAGCTCTTCATCTTGCTCGAAAGCGACGAATGCCGCCTCCTTGTTAGCGAGATAGTCAGTTTGCTCCTTGAGTTGGCGCATGCGAGTGACGTGGTCGACGTGGCCGCGACTGATGCTTGCCTTCTTCTTCTCTTGCTTGGTGAGCTCCTTCTTGAACACGCGGGCCGTCTTGACAATATGGCCGGACGCGCCGTCGCGACGCTTAGCCAGCGACGCCGACGCATGGAAGGCGCGGGTCAGCGTAAGGTTCAACGGCTTCGACCACATGGAGGAGGGAGGCTGATGCTTGCTTCCTTGCGCGACGAATGCGCCACCAAAAGTAGCAATCCGGATTATACGGATAAACAGACCAATGACAACCAATTGTTTCTCCTGGTCTTACGGACATTTAAGCACCTCATCTCCCTCGAGATACGAACAGGTTCCCGCCAAAAATCCGCCAGCGCACACAGTGCCACTTGTCAATGAACGATAAACTGTAAAATGATGAACGATACTTTCATGCAGCCAAGCCTTGGAATCCATAGAGAGTAGCAATACTCCCCCTCTTCACTCGTTCGCTGGGCCGTCACGAGTGGCGTTGTCGAAGCGTCATAGGACGTGAATGAGACCGATGCGACCTCTCGTGCGGAAACTCTTTGCGTCCTCTCACAACGAGCGCCAGCCAGTCGAGCTGCGACTGATGCCGATGGAACAATAGCTAGCTCCCAGTACGCGCAAATATGTTATCGTCACTCACTTTGGATTTCCCGCGGCTTGTTGGTAATTCGCCCGCCGCCGTCGTACACTCAACGGCATCCCCGTTGCAACAGGCGGCGGGAGCGCTTGAGGGATAGGAGAGGATCGTAACAAAGCGCATCTTCGGCCCTCCCTATTGTCGCTATATTCAGCAACGTGCGACGTAGACTGTTTGGAGCGTCAAACGTTCAGCGACTGCAGCGTGGGCGACTCGACGTGGCGGTGGCGTAGTGTCTCCAAGAATCCTTCCACAGACAGCTACTATTATGACCCACCCGCAATAATGACTCGACCGGACGAAGTACCGGTAAAGAAGCTGCCAGTGGACGATGTTCTTGCAAATGAGCCACAAAGGGGGGTGCGCTCGTCGGCGATCACGTTCTGAAAGCGCATCGCGCATCCGTGGTACAGTAACGCGCGTTGTCCAGTCCGTGGGGCCCCTCTTGTACTCCGCGTAATCAAGACGAGAGTACAATGTAATCAAGTCGCTTGTTAGCGTGATGGCCGATTGCATGAAGAGCTCGACGGTTGTTGTTGTTGGAATGAGTCTATTATTTCCTGTGCTCGACGGTTGTTTTCATTCCGTATTGTAGCTGCTCGCCTGGCTGTAGCAACTGATCATGAAAGGTGTACATGGGCACAGTAAAAAGACAAATGTCCTCGTGGTCGAGCGTCAAGCGGTAACACCATCGAGCGCACTCGCGAACGGGGCACGAGTCCAGACGACGAGAGTTCCAAACGAAGAAACCTTGAGCTATTTGCTGTGCATTGCCACTTCGAGATTTGCTCGTGAGCGCCTTGCCAAGAATTCGTGGCCTTCGCTGGAGTCAAGTTTTGGGCTGCTTCTTGCCTTGGTTATCTTGGCCATCGCCTTACGGACGCTCGTGTTGGCTGGCCAAGCCTTAGTACGCTTCATCACTGACTGGACCAAACCGCTCGGCTTAGCAGTGCACTTTTTCTTGTACATTGCAGGGTGGCTTGGGAGCGGTGCGCGTTCAGCAGCTCGGACTGCATGTTGTCCCTCGAGTGCATGTACCCGTCGTCACCAATGGACATCCCTACTGCACAGCAGTACTAATGTTCAACGAGAGGGGCATGCAGCGAAAGCAAGCCGCTAATCCAACACGCGAGAACATGGTGTAGAGAAGCTCAAACGTTATTGCCGACGATCGAGGGTTATGCTCGAGGTGAGCAACGGTGCGTGGGCACTTGCTTTGCCTTGCGATTTCTACGTCGTGGCAGCAAGCGCGAGCGTGTACGAGGAGTTCGTCAGTTTCTCGGGTACGTACCCTTCTGCTAACCGCGTTGTCAGGCCTTTCGAGAAGTCCGATTAGCATGCGCACAACGAATGCATAATTGTCTAGGTTAAGATCGAACTGGCACGCTTCCACCGCGTCAAGTTTTACACTCGGAGAATTATAAAATCGGGGGCGTAGTAGGACTTTGATAGGCCAAGTCCGATGCCTTTGAGAGCAGCACGCTCGTGCTTTGTATCAAACGACGCCACCGAGAAACCTAGTGGATTGACAGTGCAGGACAGCAAAAGTACCGGTAACATCTGGAATAATGATGCCAATGAAAACTTGACATGAATTCGTGATCAAACGCAAGACCTGAGCTCCAAGCTACTGCGTAACATCGTCGGACTTGCGCTTCTTACATCCTTCGGGGTATTTTTCGAGGACAAAGACGCCGACCCCGAGGCCACCAATATTCACGTGCAGCTCCTCAACGATTGAGAGCGCTGCCGTGTTTTTGTTGCCAAGGCAGCCCTTGATCAGTTTCTTGGACATCACAAGAAGCACTAATTCGCCAACGCGCGAAAATTAGTTGATCATCAGAAACAGTAGCACGAGAACGCACCAATACGACCGTGGTCGCGCAACACCCGGCACAGCTCTGCCATGCAGCGCGGGTACAACTACAGCGCGGCCAATGAGAGTCGTGTTTGTGTTTGTGTTTGTTGGACCTTGCTGTTTTTCTGGTGACTGCCGCAGCGCACGCCGAACGGCATATCGATCACGATCTTGTCGACACTGCCGTCACGAAGTGGTAGGCGCTGGCTATCCCATTGGCAAATGGTTGCGGGCCGCGCGGCGACGTTGCGCCCCGCCTTCTCGACGGCGTCTTCTTCGACGTCGCCACCCAGTGCAAACACGGGGGCGGCAAGGTACGTGGCGGACGCGGGAATCGTCCCAACGCCGCACATGGCGTCAAGGACAATGTCACCGGCCTCGATACGTGCGAGTTGGAGCAGCATGTACGCGGTTGACGGGCGAAGCGTCGAAATGTACTGGATCGAAGTCATACTAGGGTGTCGCTCTTCGTTGGCAAGGCGGCTCTTGAAGAAAATTTTGCGCGGGTCCGCGAGGGAAACACCTATGCCATAGTTTTGACCCATATTGTACAGAATGATAGACCAGCATACCACAGACGACGTGGTTGTGCAACACGAAGCAGACGACTTCCATGTGGAACTCGGTCAGCGAGACCTTCCAGCCGAAATGCTCCAAGAGCGCACCCCCGACTTCGCCAGCAATCTTTTCCGAATTGTACGCGTGCTTGCCATCGCGGACGCACGACGCTCGAAAGCGAAAGCTCTCGTTTTCGCTCGTTGGAGCCGTTGGTGCGTGCGCTTGCCAAAGCGACAGCGGCGCTGACCAGTCAGCCGTCTCGACTAATTTCTAATGTCGTGATGTATCAGAGTTAGGCGGTGCAAAGAGTGGACGTACCCCAATTTGGACCATGCCGGCCACGTCGTCCGTAACAACGTCGTTTGCCTCAACAACGAAAGCGAGGAAGGCCTAGGATATTTGAATCATGTGCTACGATAGAGCGCGCGGCGGAGATGTACCTGGATGGAGCATAGACTCTTCACTTCGCCTGGCGAGGATGTTGTCTCGAGCACGATTTTACCGACAGCGGCCTCGCCCCGCTCGTAGTCGCGTTGCGGAAACGCCGCGTTGGTCTGGGGCGTGATGACGTTGACGGAGATAACCTGCTTCATGTAAGACAAGGTGATTGTCTGTGCAGCAGCTGCACCGTAAGCTTGGCATGAATCTCTTCGACCGCCAAGTACTCGAGCCCGCGGATGACAAGCAAGAGGTACTTCATCGCAAAGAACCAATAACCTCCATCCCGCCAATCGCTGGCAACGGAAGAAAATCTACAAATCGCCACATGATTGGTCTGTTTTTAGCCAATCCGCTCGCACCTTTGCGCAGTGCTGTGCGGCGAAGCACCATGCCACATCAGATGCCACATGCAAGGCCGAACAGTACTTCAGACTTGAGATGTAATATCAGGGAGGACACATCATCAACCTACACTGAACAGGCTGTGTATCGTCGAATTACTTTCGGTCACGGAAGCTGGTGGCGGCCGCGCAAAGACGCGCGACGAGTCCGTGGAGCTGGACAACAGTTGTAAGGCCATCGGCAATGCACATGTGCGATTGCCCAATGCACTTGACGAAGTCGAGCTTGAGCTTATCATCCATGTCCGTGCTCTTGGCGACGCGGAAGACTGTGCCAATGATGTCGAGTGCAGAGTACCCCGTCTTCCATAACGCGATCATTTCCTTCTCAGCGACAGCCATGTCGCCGGCGACGCACGCTTCGACGATGGACTTGACCGTCGTTGGGTGAGGTTGATCGCAGACTTTGAAGACATTCGCGTCACTGATAAAGCCGAAGCCCGAGTGTGTCGCTTGGCAATTGTTGAGCGCATTACGCATGTCGCCTTCGGCCGTAAAGATGAGGGCGGCCATACCGTCATCACTGTAGCCAACTCCTTCCGCGTCGCATACTTGGACGAGGCGCTCGAGCAGCATTTCATCCTTGAGCCGCGTGTAGCGCAAGATGGCGCAACGACTCTGTATGGGCTCGATGATTTTGGTCGAGTTGTTGCACGCCAACGCGAAGCGCGTTGTTGCGCTAAAGACCTCCATCGTGCGGCGCAATGCCTGCTGTGCGGCCGTCGTCATCGAGTCAGCTTCGTCGAGGATCACGATCTTGTGGCGGTTGGGCGGCAACGTGACCTTTTGCATCGCAAACATCTTGATCTTGTTCCGGACCTACGTCGTGGAGCATGCTAAGGGTGCATTCAACCAGGAACGACTGCCTACCGTATCGATGCCGCGGTCGTCCGAAGCATTCAGCTCCAGCACGGCGGTCTTCATCAGCGTGTCGCCAAGAAGGTCACGTGCGAGACACAGGATCGACGTGGTCTTCCCAATGCCCGGCGGGCCGCTGATGATGATGTTGGGCATGTTGCCCTCGCGCGCGATGACGCGGAGCCGACTCACGGTCTCGTTGTTGCCCACGACCTGAGACAGGGTTGTTGGCCGGTACTTCTCGACCCACGGCGCTTCGAATGCGGTCGACATCTCGTGACCGCTAACTGCTTTTTGTGTGTGCTGTGGCGCGAAGGATATTTGCCATGTTTGACTGGTCAAAAACATTGTATATTGCGCCAATCAAATACACGTCTGGGCCATGCGACGGTACATGTACTATTAGTACATGGCCAACCAAATGCTCCACCTCAATAGTACCAGGGGTGCCTCAAGCTTCAGCACTATAATGCCAGCTATAATGCCACCCATGAAAGTTGAGTGCGCGGGTCATCGCCGGATCGATGGTGCAAAATGCATCAAAGTTTGCTACGCGGAACATAGTGGTGAGAATGACAAACATCCACAGTCGTAGTCGTTGGGCTGTTGCGGCACCCGCGAGACTACGCGTTGCAAGTGGAGATGGTTGTCGAGATGGTTGTCGATGGGTAGATCTTTCAAGATAAAAGCGGCGAAGTCTTCAGCAAATGTTAGGATCTCAAGGTCTCGCGTGTCCGGCCTGCTGCTCTTGTACATCGTGTCCAAGATTGCGGCCCACCTGCGGCAATCGCCCGACGCGGCGAAGCAAGGATGCTGCCAGGGGACGTTTGTTCTTGCTAATGGGCATGACCCACAAAGGGCAGGTTCGCAGGTCGGTGGTCTCGGTGAAAGCGCATGGCACTTCGTTTATCCGTGGTGGTGCGCGTTGCTCGTTGGGTCCTCTGGTAGATGGCGCAATGGCTCGAGATGAAATCAATAAATGAAGTGCGCCGTTGATCGAACGCGCGCGAACGTGGCGTCGAGCATCTCAAACGTCAATACTCGCGACCGAGGGCTGTGTTCGAGGTGAGCAATGACGTGTGGGCACGTTTCAGCTTGCGCTTTCCACGTCGTGATAGCAAACACGAGTGCGACCACGTGCGAGTGATACTTGAACTTCTGCTTCTTGTCGATGTGGACTGCGTTGTTAGACCGTTCGTTGAGTCCAATAGGCCTGTGCACAACGGACGTGTCGGTGTTCTGAGGATAACCGAGTTGGTCGTCCACGCCGGTTCCTGAGCCGCATCACCCGGTGTCAGCTCGTGTAAGCGCCTTCACGAGCCAATCCGTGATGGCTTGTATACCGTATCAGCGGGCCATCGTGACCCTTTGGGACAGCAATCGGGAAGTTGCCGACAGTCTTGCAAGAGCTCTTCGAAGGATGCATCACCCGCACAACGCATTTGCTGGCCAAAGGAGCAGTGCAAACAATGCTCGTGCGATGACCGAGTCGCTAGACAATGTACTGGAAGTAGCCATGATGAGGCAAATAGGAAATTAAAGCTAACTGACCGCTGGTGCCCTCGCCACAGGTCCCATTCTAAACTACTCTAGGATTATCTTACTGATAGATTGATACGTATCGCCTTGTCTCGACCTAGTGGTTTGAGAGCTGTGCAAATATGAGTCTCCAGTGCTCACGATATGCTTCAATGTCTTCCAGACCTTCCCAAAGTCATAGGATTCCCCACGCTCGAGCACTGCTCGCGGATCTCTTGCGTGAGCTCAAAGCTGCCTTCGGCTTACGGCTTGAGGCGACTCGTTTGTGCATGGCGCTCTTGACCCGAGAGGATATGACGGATGGCGCATGCGTACGGCGGCACTTCCGTAATTTGGAACGGGCTGAGCCATGGGACGAGCACCTTCGGATAATTCATCTTGTCCACGCGTGACCAAAGTACGTAGTCACCAATGTTGGCGACAAACTGTTCTTGGTGCGTCTTCGCCGCGGTTTCCCCCGCAAGGCGTTGTTGACGCAGATTATCGATCTTCTTGCGGACGTCAACCAAACTCGTGTGAGCAGCAGCCACCGAGCTGACGACGTCCGGCCTCGACCAGTCGGTATAACGGACGAGTTCACCATCAAAGTCGCGGACCACAATGTCCAAGTTGGTAGCTGGCACGTGCCCCGCGAAAGCTTGTGTTGGGCACATACCACCAAGCGACTTGACAGGTGTCTGGATGAGGTTGGCTTAACCCTCCCAGACCTAAAGCGGTAGGAGATACTCCCACTGCTCAAGGTCCAGATGGTACTCGCGCAGCATGGCCCGCAAAACTTGGAGAATATCGCGGTTTAAGCGCTCGACGGTACCGTTGCGCCACGGCGTGTAGGTCTAAATAAAGTGATGGTCGACCTTGCAGACTTGGGCCTGCGCTGCAAGTGCCGTTTCCGAGAAGTGGAAGAGGTTTTCCGCGCAAGGCCGAGCGTTCTAGAAGACCAAGCAAGATATGGAAGCACGCACACGTAAGAAGATCCAGGCGCAGAGCAAGCGGCTCGAGCCATCCACGAATTTGTAGTATCAGTCAAAAGCTAAGCTTCTCCAAGTACCTTGCTTTCTCACGGCGACATATGCCGCATCTGCGCGGCAACCAAGGCCCCAAGCTTAGTCTCTCGATGGTGGTTTCCAGCTTGGTGCGCCTCAAGGAAGGCGCTCGGTGGCTGGCGTCATCATTGACGAGTCCGACACCATCCGCACGCTTGCTCGGCCTCGACGAGCGACGATCAGCTGGCGCACGCGACGGTGGCCGTCGGGCGTGCGACGCACCGTGGTTTCGATGGCTTTTAGCCAAGACGCTGACACCCTTCGCATCTACGCCTCCAGCGCGAGCAGCGCGCACGCAACCGCACTGCGGCCACTCGGTCGCTATACCAGCATACACGAGCAGCAGCCCGAGAGCGCGCTCAGGATTCTACCTACTCCTATCAAGGGCACTGGCGATTTACTAACACGCAGTATCTAGCGCCCCTGTCAATTGCGTCCCTGGCGCTCGTCGGTGAGTGCGATACGGTCCGTTTTCCCTACCCGTCTCGGCACCTTTGTTCTTTGCTCAACTGGCACGTCAACTTCGCTCTGTGTCTGTCTACATCTACACGTTCGGCTCCGCGATCTCAGTGTGTACGACGAGGGTGCACTTGCCTTGGGCATTGACCTGCTCGACTACGCCGACAAGTTTTTCCCAACAATGCGACGTCGTCTGTACCGCAGCTCACAAGACGTTCGCGGTTTTTTGTTCTCTTTTCCCCCTCGCGACGGCAGCCTGCGACGGCGCCAGCGACGTCGCAGCCGTCACAAGCTTTCCGGGCGCAGACCCGTGACCCAGCCCACGGCCAGCACGACAAGCCACAAGGTGGTGGCAACACGACAGGCCATCGAAGGTCGCAGTCAAGGCGGCAGTCAAAGCCACGCCGACCAAGCACACTCGCCAATCCGTCAGACGCTCTGGGTGCGCCTCTTTTGACGACGGTGAGTCCCAATACAAGCCCGCGCAAATTGTCGAAGCTCAGGTGCCAGAGCTCTGTAAGGTACGAATGGTGCACTGGTGTTGACGGGCGGCTGCGCATTCACACGGTCGCGATGGCTCTCATCAACACCGCCCGGCGGCGCGCTGGGCGGCTTTGAGGGCGGACTTGGAGCTGTGAGGCTGCCAAAGTGGGTACTCGTGCGTCCCACCTTAGACAAATCACGCAACTACACCCTCTCGGTTCGACAACAGCGCCGGCACCAGCGAATCTGTCGTCTCGGCGTCATCAACCAACCGCAACTGGGCCTGTGGGCACTTAGTGACGAGGCCAAGCTACTCGCCACTCGGACTGTCAGGCAGCTTTGGATACAACCGGGGTACGCGGTGACTCGTGTTTGCGTCTTCGGGCGCGGCCGAGTCATTCGCCACTCGGACTGTCAAGGCATCTTCGGATACAACCGGGGCACGCGGTGA